CTTCTTTTTCATTTATCATCATTTAAACATTTTTTTACAATGAAAAAGCATTGTTTTGCAGTAAGGAAAAAGTGGCTTTATCTTCATTTAAAACATTATCAGTGTGGGTTCTCTTCTTCAAGAATATTCTGAAAATGAAATATGTGGTAGAAAAAAGCAAATCATACAGAAAAGTTTTATATGTCTGCTTTCAATTAACTTTTATAGGAAAGGCAAAACAAGGCAATTCATTTCCAAGTCTGTTCTTTCAATTCCTCTATTCTTTCAATCTCAATTCATTTATAAAAAGACGTTTTTGTCTTTTTGTCTCAATCCTCAAAAGGATTGAGGATGACTGTGTTGCCTACATTAGAACTTACAATATTTTTGTCAGTCATAATGGGAAGAAAATAAAGCTAGGGCCCAAAAAAGCTTTTCTGGTTTTTAGCTAATGAATTGGGAGTCACATGATCAGGCAAAAGAAAATTTATATAAAAGATCAAGATAGATTTCTTTATTGATGCAATCAGCAAATAGGAGTAATCTGGATCAATATGACAGGGTTGGAAGGGAATATAGGACCTTAAACATGACAGCTGTTAACAGATATGTCTGCAGTTGTAGTTTACAATAAAGTGTAAGTCTGAGCATAAAAAAACTATGCCAAAGGTGAAATTTTTATTGACTTACCATAATTTTTCAGCTACAAAGTATATAACCAAGTGTAATATTTACAATTCTTACATAATGTACATTTTAGAATAACTATAAAGATAATGTACTTTGTCCCATTTACAATGACAAACTACAGTAAAACTACATTCATGAATTAGATATAAATCCTCTACATACTAATAAAATGTAAATGAAGTGTTGGTTATACATTCTTTAAAATATACCTTTTCACAGGTAGCAAAAAATATTACATGTAATAAGTCTTTATGACTGGAATGATCTAAAAATACCATAAAGCCCAAGTAAACACATACAGAAAAGTAGCTCATCATTTCTAAAAGTTAACCTTTAGCCTTTGTGTAAAATAAATGATGCCAAAAATCTTTACAATGCAACAACCTTTCCCTGTATAAAATTAACACCCAAAAGGTGAAGAGGTATGTTGAAGAAAATAAACAAAATCTAGAACCTAAGCTAGTGAAAAGACCAATACAGAGAAAAGTTTATCTAATCAAATCTTGCTTCCCTTGCCACCATTATCTCATTTTAAGTAGATAAATTTATGTAAACAGAAAAGGATGCCCACAAAATCATATTTATAGATGTCAGGATTCAACCAAACTGAATCCAAGCCCCTTTTAGTTATCTTTCATTTGGAAGCATCAAGAAATTGGGAAGTACAGGCATACTTCGGAGATATTCATTTCCAGGCCACCACAAAAAAGCGAATATCACAATAAAGCTAATTGTAATCTTTTTAGTGGTGGAAGGTCCTGCCTTCAATTTGTAAAACACAACATCTGTGAGGTATGCCTGGATATGGTAAAGTAAAATTACCTTTGTAATGTTTTGCTTTCATTAATGTTGTTGCAAAAATGTAAATTTTCTTACAATTTAATGTCTTCAAATCCTAATCTATTCCTTCAAGGTAATTTTATATCCAGGTTCTGCAGAATATTTGGAGTCTTTGTTATCAAAACACAAGGAAAGCTGGCAGTCATTATCAGGTTTTTCTGCTTTACAATGATTCCAAATCATTTCATGATACAAGTAAAGTGCCTCTGACTAGTAGTCAGACAGGGGTTCTGGTGTCACCTATGCCACCAACCAGCAAACCAGTGACCCGCCCTAGGTAAAACAAGAGGAGCAGCCCAGGATCAAAGAAGAGACAATGTTGGTTGGCACTTGCAGAGTAAGATCTTAGAAGTCCTGCTGTGAAAGCAGGTGAGATAATGTCAAAGTAGGCTGTGAGCAGCACAACAGTAAAAAAGGGTTATTACATTTTCGCTTTGTTTCATCCCACTCCTTTTATTTGTGAGGAACTCTGAATCCAAAAAGAGTAGAAACTACTAGTCAGTGCTCTTTCACTATATCATGCAGTTCTGAGTCATTCTGGACAATTCTATAAAAACATCATTTTTCCAGCTCATGTCCATGGTCAAAAGTGCTATCAAACAGAAAAGTTAGTTTGACAATCTAAGAGTGATATGGGAATGTCTTACTATTAGTGGGTAGTAAACTTAGTCTTAAATATAATTAGGTTTATTGTGACCATACTTTACATGTTGTAAAATTATGTTTTTTACATATTCCTTAATACATCACAAACTTAAGTTGTCCAGGCTGTGAAGGTATAATTTTTTTCAAAATGCACTCATGAAGAACCAAAGTACATATTCCAAATTATATCTATATATGTTTTAAGTAAACACCCAAGTTCATAAAAATTTATAGTGAACACCAGTATAAATTAGGCAAACACTGTAATGTAGTGAATCCCTGGGAATTCCTGATTTTCTAAGGACTGTACCAAAGGTAATTTTTAAAACCTTAGAAATCTGAAACATGTAAGTGTTACAACGAAAAACTGCAAATAACTACTCAATTAAGCAACAGTTCTAACATGAAACTGCATCTAATGAACACATAGTGCAAATAATATTCTTATTTTGATATTAATCTAACTTTTAAGTTAATGAGCTAATGATAATGAGCTAACAGAATAATGATAAGGAATCAGAAACTACTATCAGCAGATCATTTAGGGAAAGAAAACAAAGGGCAAGCACATTGACTTATGAAGCCCAAGAGTATGATTAACATTGTTTACACTCTTAATTTCTCATAAAGCATTGACTAATGCACAGCATAATGAAACTCAGATTTGTTACATAGTATAGAAAAGCTATTAGCTGACATAGCTAAATTTACCTTGATAAGATGCAACCCACTTGGTAATTACTTGTAATATAGTCTTGCTGTTTACTGCATCATTTCTGCCAAATTTAATACAAACTGAGTCTCGGATACTCAAGAAATCAAGCCACAGAAATCTATTTTTGTAGTGCCAGGCTCCCTGTATTGTTAAATATTTCACTTTCTCTGAAGTTGTTCAGAACCATGATCATCTTTAGTGCGTTTCAATATACTTCTAACCACTAAATTAGACACTAATCACTGCCACATGAACAACTCATGACTCAAGCCACAGGAGGTGAGAGTGTCATAAAGAATTGCCTTTACCAGCAGGGATCCCAGAGGTTTTCTGTAGCACCAATGGCTCGATCCAAAAGGAAAACTGCTTAGGCTTCCTCAGATAAAGGTTAGGAGCTTTAGGAGTAAAGTCCTAGGATTAAAACAGGCGTAGGCACTACCAAAAAAAGTGAGGCTCTCTTTTCTTTCCTTTCTTTCTGTTTTGTTTGCAACATAGTTCCTTATCCTTGAGCTTTTTGAAAAATTAATTTCAAACTGCACTCTAATAAAAATGTAAGTCAGACTTTTGCCAAGCCAGATGATCTGTAACTTAAGAGAAACAGGAAAGATTTAATGTTCCTGTTGTTTTAATTAAAATACAAGGTTTTGGGAGTTAGCATTTCCTTAGAAATAATTCATTGGTTTTATCCTTATCTACTATGCAGTTATTATCAGTAAATAAGCATTATACGCATGTAATTTGGCCAAACAAATATGGAATCTTTTCTGTGATGTGAATTTATTTCAGTATAATTCCTGTTTACACAGATTCCATTTTGATGGTCATTTAGCTTGTAAAACTCTAGTTACTGAGAGGGGGCAAATGTTAGAAAATGTATTATCTACCCAACAATGGAATCAGACTAATTTGTAGCATATACATGATAAATCAGTATATCAATAATATTTTAGAATTCAAGAATCTGTGATTCATATAATCAAATACTAAAGCTATACAGATGCTGTAATTTAAAAGAATGTACACTGTATACAGTAAATACACAGGATACTAGAAAAATTAAAAACCAATTAATTGCTACATATTATAGTAAAAACTAAGAAAAACATGAGGTTTTTTTTTCCTCCTTTTACAGACACTTTTCTTTCATTAGAAGCAATAGCAAAAATGTATCTTGAGAAGGACAAATTTCAAATATAAAAATGGTCTACATTACTTTGAAAATGAACTTTTCTTTTGAAATCTGATGAAAGCATAATTTTACGACATTGAAGTGACCTTTGAAACAGTTTTATTACATCAATATATTTGTCGTGGTTTTAGGAAATCAACCCAACAATGAAGAACTACAACTTCTATAACTGAGATTCTTCTGGTGATTTGGAAGAAAATTGTTAAGGGCTTCCTTTTGCTTCATAAAATGGAATAAATCTGAAGGACTAAGTTATGTCTACCTGCACAACCATTTATAAATATGTTAAAGATGTTAAAGTACTGGACAATAACCAGATATCTAAGAACTATAACTGTATTTATGAGCAAATGGGGGAAATTATTTTCTAGTTCTAATAACTGATTTCGTATTATGTGTATGACAGCTAGGCTACCAAAAACAAAACAAAACAACAATTTCTGAACCACTAAAACTCATGAGGGAAACTAAAGAAAAGTCATAGTCTGGAGAGAGGAGGACAGTGGGCTCCCACTTAATGCAGACATGGTTGACTGAATGATCCTGGGCAAGTTGCATAGAAAAAATAATCAATGCTACCACCACCCACTGGCAAAAAAAGAGATTTCTTCTAAACCCTTAGCTTATTGTAGCCTAAAGATGGCTTCAGTCTAGATTCAACTTTTTTTCTATAAAAATTGCCTTTTAAACAGGCTTTTTCTCTTTTATTAATAAAGGAGGTCCTGAAGTAGTAGGTTCCTCTTCCAATTACTAAAGCCCGATGTTTTACTTTATAAAAATATCTATGAATGGGTACCTTTTCTCCAAATCACTCAATCAATATTAACTAAAATTAAGTACAATTAAATCAGCAAAAATTTGTGAGTTTTCAGATCTACACATTAGGGGGTCACCAGCTTTAATATTTTTCCCTTCTTAAAAAAATTCAGAATTTCTGTGAATCTTGCTGGAAACGATTCAGTTTCTCTGGATTATTGGATGCCATTTGGGAAAAATCACGAAAAATATCCTGATAAGTTTCATCACCTGCATGGAAAGTAAAATAAAGACACTTAAAATTTATACAATGAAAATATTAATAAACAACATTCATGTTTATAATTAGTAACTATTTTATAAATCGTTATATTAAAATTGTGTTCAGATGAGCATTTTTGGAAGAAAAAAGATAAACTGAATATAAATGCTGGAAAAGTATATAGTGAAATAAAAAAAACAAAACTATACCTGAAAAAAGCACCTCAGATGCAGCCACAGAGGAAAGTTCAGAGTTAGAAAAAAAGCAAAGATGCAAGTGTTTTAAAGCAGTGTAAAGAAATACATTTATTAACACATGAGAAATAAAAGTCATTCTAAGTGAGGTATAGTAAACAAGGCATTCTTTAAATAAGTATTTCCCTTGATCAAGACCAAAAGGAAAGACCAAAAACAAACACTAAGTATTTCTGATGGATGCAAGTTATTAACAAGACAAAACTGATAATCAGGTGGGGGAAAAGTCTATTTTAATATTATCTTTTAACTAAAAGGCAGTTTAATTTAAACAGCATGTGAAAAAGAAATTCTCTACTCAAACGTTAATGCTTAACTAAAACTAATGTACCTAATCCACTGCTTACTAAGCTTATGAAATGATGAAGCCTAGAAAATTACCATAAAATCATAATTTCACATTTAATCAGAACTTTTTTGCTTACTGTTGATATGAGCAAAAATGCTATGACAAAAGGGGAATATACCAAAGACATCTGTTAAATTAGAATAACAGACATATGTATATACATACAAATATGCTTTTAGAGAAGTAGATTATAGATACTGATACTATATCGGATTGAACACTATTATTTCTTGCCATGAGAAACTAAATTATACACACATACAGATTATTCCTCAAATAATTTGTACAAAGAAAAATCTTATTTTCAAGATGAATCATCCATTATGAATGCTTCCTATTAAACATTAGCTTTATACAGAAGCTTGGCATAGTTGTTTTCAAGATTTAGACTGTCAAACACTATTTTACATGACTATTGGTGCAACATGGTTTTATAATTATTTTCCATAGTATACCTTGCATCCATCTTATTACAAACTCATTTGCTACAGTTAATAGTGCAGTAAGTTTTGTCAGCTTTTGAAAAGCAAGATTTTTGAGGCAATAGATGTCATACCAAAAACTAGAGAATTAGAAAAAAGTTTGGGGAGGGGAATAAAGATCTAGTAAAAAGGTCTAATAGCATAACTCAAGATTTTCAATAAAAAATGTTTAGTACTTTTAATATTTAGCCATTTTTAATATTTAGTCTATGTAAAAAGCAAGTTATTAAAATCTCTATATAGTTTTCATTTAACCCTGGACATTTTCTTATGACCTGAATCAATCAATCTACTTTAAAAAGAAAAAAATACAGTAAGGAGAGAATTTTAATAGGCTGTCTAAGAGTAACATCTAACTCATATTATTGTTACTAAAACAATAAAAATAAAGGTTGATATGCTGAAACAACTGGTAAGACAATCCAATAATACCCATGATTTCTTAAAAGTTTACTCCCACATTAAAAGACAAACTACAATCTATTCCCATTTTTAGCCATTCTAAAAGATATAAAATAAACTGAGAAGAGACCAACATTAAATATCAATTAAGAAACCATACAAAATATTTAAAAATTTTTTCTTATTCTTAGATGTTGAATTAAAATATTTAAAATATTTATTGTAAACATTATAAATATTTTTAAAATACTATTTAAACTGTAGAGTCTGGAATTTTACTTTCCAAGAAAGTGTAAAGTGCAGATTATAATACAAAAATACCACACTGATTTTACCATTCAACACCAGAAGTAACTTAAAAGGCACACATTTATACATTCAAGAAGAAACAGGAAGAAGGATCTAGGAGACACTAATGTCAAATAGTTTACAGATAGCACCAGATGAGCATTCTTAAGTATTACAACAGTACAATGGCAATATATGGCTTCTACTATTAGCAATGCATATTTTGTATAACAAGCTGTGGGATTAATTTGTGTGTGTGTGGTTTTCCAGTTTTTGTTTCTAAATTATCTAGTACCCATTACACAAGTATATTTTAGTAGAACCATTGTACCATGCGAAACAAATTATAAGTTTTTATTCACTGAATTAAAAGCTTCCATGAAGGAAAGTGTTGGTGCTACACTAATTGGTTTCACTTACTAAATACATTTTTAAAGAGTCAATACAGTAAGGAAGGAAGTCTCACCTTCACACACACACACACACACACACACACACACACACACACACACGCAACTTTTTGTTAACAATCAGTTTCTAACAAAACATTAATTAATGGACTATCAATACCCTTTCTTAGGCTTCAAAATGTGTAGTCAAAAAGCAAACATTATAATAACAATAGTGACTAAGATATTTAATACAGTTAACACAAATTGAACTTCAATGCGATTCTTTAAAATTTAAATATAATTTTAATCATTTAAAATTTTTCCCAAGGCAAATGTAACTTGTCTACACTAGAATACATAAACAATAACTATGATATGTTGCCCTGGGAAGTTCAGAGAAAGACATTTAACAGTTTATTATAAGTGGTAAACAACTAATCACCCAATATTTGTAATGCAAGTTATATCCTTTAAATTACTTAATCAAATTCTATTTCTCTTCAGAAAGTTAACTTTTCTACATGCCTGAGCAGTTCTGAGTTTTTAAAATGTGGACTGTTGTATTTTCACCAATATTTTAAAATAGTTTTTGATTTTGGGTATTCAGAATAGCCACTGCAACTCAGTTATAATGATCCAAGATTTTGCTGATTTTGCTCTTGAAATGGCAGCATGGGAGACCCCACCCTCAGGTGATCCTGGCCTTTCTGGGTTGATTATAGCCTGCTTTTTATAACTGTTTAGAACAGTGATCAAACTTAGCCAGCAACATACTCACATAACCAGTAGTGGGTTCATTAAAGCAGTGATTTTCACCTGGCTGAGAAACTCTGCCAACAGTCAAGAGGAATCTTAGAGTCAGAGACTGTGGGAACCACCAAACTAGTTCCCAACAATTGAGAGCAGGGCATGATATCTCACTCACCCCCCTCATTCTCCTCTCCTCCTATGAGTTGTAGGAACTGATAAAGAGGGATACATTTTCCCTTCAGGAAATGCGTGCTCTTATGCGTGCGTTTAACATCGCCTTGCAAAAAATAGGGAGTCAAAGTCAGAGTTGTAGATAGAAAATTCACAAGTGGGGTTTCCTAGGAATAGGTGCATGATTCCCAAAGATTATATCTCAAGTTTTTTAAAAGGTATGGTTCTTCATTATCAAAAGATTGAAAATACCTGCATTTTAAAATTACCCAGAATTCTGAGGTTTTCTTTCCTAGCCTAGGCAACAAAAAAAGGATGTAGATAAAATAATCAAAATCTATGAGAAAAATGTCAGTGACAGGTGAAGGGAAAGAAAGGACCTGCTGCCTCAGCAAACATATCTGCTCTCCAAAGACTCATAAAGGAAAAGAAAAGTAGCCCGAGAGCAACTGCTGTACCATTTCACCACGTCACCTGTATAAGTATAAAAGTCTTCTGTTTTAAATATGAGACCCTCTAAATGAATTAGAAATCTAATTATTATCAAGATGATCCTCAAAGAGATCAAAATCTTATTTTATTCTGCTCATATGTCATTTCCAGAATTCTGATCTATTTTTTAAACTCTAAAATGAAATTTGAGTGATAGAGAAGCTTGTTTTTTTAAATGAGGCTTTTTTTCAAATTTTCATTCAAACAAATCGCAAAAATTTATTTTTCTATCTGTAACTGTAAAGTATATACTAAAAAAACTTATACATAAAACGACAGTGAAAGAGACACTTGAATGCTCCTAAATGGTGGCAGAAGCCCAAGCATTTGGGTGGAGCCAGAAGTTGCAAGAGCTTAGAGGCCCTGTCCTTTCAAGCTTCCCAACTCCAGAGAAAAGTCAACCACTGACCTTCTAGACTAATCAGTTGGGTGTAACTTCATCAGCAAACACCTTAAGGAAAGAGCAGCTGACCAAACATTGATGTTTAAATTTACAGGAAAAAAACACTGTTTAACTTAAACTCTTGAAGTTCACTCTGATCTCACAAATATCAGGTCATAGCCTTTGAATAATTTTTATTTTAAAGTGCTTAAACTCAAAGGCCTCAAAAATTGCCTAGTAATATTATCACTTAAGTATATGTTACAAAATTATAACTTATTTAAAATCTAACACTCAAGTTTAAAATAAATGGGTGAAATTCAGAATTAATGCTGAGACTTTCACCCTTAATCAGCTTTCTTACATCTTGGTATATCAGGAATCAGTAGTATCGTTTGATCCATAGGATTAAAGTGGGACACCCTAGATTATAAGTATCTAGATGAAGTTCCTCTATTCTCAAAGTTCATACTTGTCCCCTATTAAATTAGAACAAAAATAAGTAGTAAATACAGTCCTTTCAGAAAAGAATAACCCCATATTTATATTAATTATATATTAATCTGGTTAAAATAAAAATGGCTGAAGCTAGCACAAAGTATAGAAATTTCAAAACATAATGAAACAGGAAGAATAGAAATTATCAACCACTTAAAATAATATATTAATATTCATTGAAAAAAATAAAATATACTGAACAGTCTCAATTATTTTAGTCATGAATTCTGGAAATTTTTTACTTATGTATATGAATTTAAAACAGAAAAATTAGTAATTCATATACTCAAATTCATGAAAGTGGAGATCTAATTACTTGGTATGTTCATTAAAGGGAAGAATCTGATCAAGACTTCTTCCTTTTCTTAAAGGTGAAAATTATTCAAACTGACACTTGAGCTGATCCTAAGTTAGGGTTCTCTAATATGAATACATCTACTTTGCCATCAGGTTCACGAACTACTGTTAGAAATACTTCCACTTATTTAACAGATATTGTACAATTGCTTGGAGCAAAGCTGTAAGATAAAATGAAACCTTTCCCCTATAACTTTTAAACCAACTCCACTTCCATTAGGGACTTCTTACCCTACTAATAAATTTTATTTTTAAACCTTCAAGTCATGTTTAGATCAGAGCACAAAACTCTTAATTCATTTTCTAGCTATTTTCTATACTGACGTTTTATATGCCAAACACATGGTGATTTGTTTTTTCCCTGAACACAATTTATAGAAATTCCCTGAATAACAAACAGAAAAATCATTTTGTTATATTCACTTGATAGCTAAAGAAAATTTCAAAATGCAAATGACTATTGTGCTGCTGTAAGTGTATAAAGATACGTTATCATTCCATTCACTTCACTGGAATGTATGTGGAAGACATCTGTACAGCAGATAAAGCAGTCAGCAGCCAGTTAAATACACCACGTAAATGTGTACTGTAATAGGAATATGGATATTTAAAGGCCCAGGAGTTAGCCACCCCCAAGAATTCAGTAGTATAGTATATACCTAACAACTCACAATTCACAATTATAAAAACTCTATAGTATTAAGTTAGTGTGCTAAAGAACTATGAGTCTTCTAATTGTAAACTGATAAATTCCTGAATGCATTTCTTATACTGCATTTCAGTATGGTTATTAGTAGAATATTGACCTGGCTGTCCATAAAGTCCTTCTGATTCCCGCATTTCTTCATTCATTCTTGCTAAACGTAACCTAAAATTAAATAAAAGGATTTTTTAGATGAATTTATACAATATTCATAAACTAATGAATTATATAAGCAGGCAAAATGTTTACTGGTGTAGGTTTTTTTTCTTTTACCAATATTTGCCACTAAAATAAGCAGGCTTTTAGTTTATCAGACCCAGCAATCTGAGATACAAAAATGAGTGTATTTTACTTTATACAATTCTCATGAGAGAAGACAATAAAAGATTTCTAACAATGGTATTTCAGCTCTAAGCAAGATCCTTGCAGCACCTCTAGCAGCTCGCTTCCTCCAGACTTCAGAGAATTGCTGGCTTCTACAGCAACCTATCAATTGTTAAAGATGAACGTTTGAAATTTTTGCTTCTATAGTATGGAAGCAATAGTCTGTCACAAATTCATTCTGGTTCACCCTGAGGTTAGTTCCAGGCATATAAATCGCATGTGTCAGCTCTAAATACTGGGACTATATTTTGATATACAAACATTATCATAATGACCACAGGTGACCTAGATTTTTCCCAAGGTTATCATATTGGTTATACATTCTTTTGGGGGTTATTCATCCTGGCAGCAGGAAGGCATGTGGCACTGGATTAAGAAAACAAGAATTTCCTCCCATTTTCATACTAACTTTAAGCAACACTTTGAAACAGGCAAATGCTGCCTTTGGTGCCCCTCTGCTACTCTGTATTACCCGCCTGTCCTTCAGGCTACCAAATACTCACTGCCTTCCCAGACCTCTATCAGCCTCTTCTAACATGCTCTCTCTGGCAGCTATAGCTTCTGACATGGGCTTTTCCTATATTCACAGTACAGCAAATCCCTTCCATCTCCATTTTCAACCACTGCATGAATAATAGGGTAACACCTTAATTATTCCTTTAGTATTTGGACTTTACGTAGATGATGCCTATTTTCAAAAAATTAAGTGAAACTGAAGTCCTCACACGAAGTAGTATGTGACAATTGAGATAATTTGAGAACAGATACCTTTATGGGAGAGGGGCCATTACTACAAGAATTGCCTGGGAACCCTACCAAACCACGGTTCGTTTCTCTATACTACTATTTCCTATCTCTTCTGTAATAATTTATCTTTCTCTAATTATAAATCTATAGTAACTGAATAGTTCTAAATCTTCCTACAATAGCCTCCACAGTAACAATAACTCCTCCAGTGGGGAAAGGAAGCTGAATACAGAGAAAGTATGTTGTTTTTTGTTTTTTTTTTTAAATTTGGCAAGGGTCAGGGAGAAGTGACATGGCAAGTCAAGAATTCTCAGTGGGAGCTCAGAAGTTCAAGGCAGTCGTGGGAGTTTCCTTTTGTAAGTGACTGATTCAGTAGTATGGCTGAAACTATCTCTACTCATATAACAGGGGATCAACAATTCTGGCCTTTACTGAGCCCAGAATAGAATGAAAAAAGTAACTTCACACAACATATGTTTGACATGTCCTACATAATAATGACATGTAGGTGAAATCACATTTCTAAATTCCAAGTTAACAACTTTAAGATGAAAATCAAAGTAAGACTTCAAAATTCTTTCTTGAACAGATAATATAAAATTGTATTCAAACATTCAAAAACAAGAATTTTTATCTTAAAATATGAGTATACGTGAATAATTCTTTAAAAACCAAGTACAAACAGATCCCTAAGTATTACTGACCCAGGCAATGAAACTACAAAAGTTACTAACATCAGTGCAGGTGTCCTCCTTACTTACAATCCTCTAATTCTCCACGCAGTAGAATGAGGCCTGTTACTACACTGAATCCAACCCCCACCCCAGTACTGGACTAAGAGTTAAAGAATCCATTTCAGAGAAATCACTGATTTTCTGTTACTACTGGTCATGCAGTGTAACAGAAGTGGCTAAGCATATGTGTTTTAGAGCCAGAATTCTTGGTTTCAGATCCCAGCTTCACCACTTACTTGTTTTTCAAATTACCTGTGGCTTGGCTTCCTTATAAAATTAGGCTAATATAATAATACCTTCCTCATAGGCTTGTTGTGAGAACCAAATAAATTCATGTATGTAAAGTGCTTAATATATTTAATGTACGTAGAGAAATACATGGCATATGGTAAACAACCAGCCAAGTTTAAAGTTCACACCTACACAGGAAACTCCAATGTGAAAACCCTATACAAGTAATATACTATATGGGACATAATCCAGTAAAAAGAAAACACTTACAAGGTCACTATATCAGCATTGGCTGCTTCCACAGCTATACTCAAAGGGTCTTTCCCTTCTTCATCAGTGGCATGTTGATTGGCACCTCGTTTTAGGAATAAACATACCTGCCTGTTTAAGCAAACAGCATTTTGGGGATATTGTCAATAAGAAATTAGCATTTACCTTAAAAAATAAATCACACCACCTAAATTAAAGGAATAACATTTTCACTAGGGAATTCTTATTCATTCCACAAATACTTATTGAACACTGACTTTAATAATAAAAATTTACGGGGCCGGCCGAGTGGCGCGATGGTTAAGAACTCGCTTGGGATGCCAGAGGGCCCCGGTTCGGATCCCACATATGAGGGCCAGTGAGTGACACTGCCCTCCACAGCTAAGATGCTGAACAACAGCTCAACCTGGAGCTGGGCTGCCGTGGGTCGCCGGCGACGGCATAGGCTGCACCCCCTTTGGCAGTGGGTTGCCATGGGCTACCGTGTGTAGCCAGCAGCCAGCGTGAGCGGCCAGCAGCCGCAGTGAGCGGCCGTCCAGAAGCCGGTGACTGATCTGCCTCACAAGGGAAGAGCGCAATGACGGTGCCAACTTGGGCCAGTGAAGCAACATCCTCCACAACTAGATTGAAGAACAAAACAACAGCAACTTGTCTGTTCCCCTTCCCCCAATTCCCCAGCACTGTTCCCATCCCCCCAATTCCCCAATAAAAATCTTTGGAAAAAAAAAAAACAAAGATTAAAAAAATAAATAAATAAATAAAAATTTACCATAATCAGCATTTTACATATCTCAAGATATTTTCATATTTAACCTGGTGCTATATAGCATAGTGGAATGCACAAGGTATGATCAAACAATACAGTGAATGTTTAAATTTAAAAAAAATTATTACAGTAAAAGATACATTGCCATTAACCCCCCTCAGAAAACCCCCCCTCATTTCAAACACACTTATTCCATCTTTCTTAATACTTTCTGAAGCAGTTCTGGAAGTCCTCTTTTTGTGAGTGTCTTTAAGTTGCTCTGTCATGCCTCGATGCCTCAATATTCTGAATCGATTCAAAAACATTTTCCTTTCATGATCATTGTGACTTGGGGGATGAGCCAGAAGTCACGCAGTGCCAGATCCGGTGAATAAGGTGGATGAGGACACACCATAATGTTTTTATTTGACAGAAATTTTCATATATATCAGAAGCAATGTGTGACACGGAGCATTGTTATGATGGAGGATGAAGGAAAGATACTCATGCAAGAGGACTTCCAGAACTGCTTCAGAAAGTGGCAAGTATGATGGGATAAGTGTGTTAGAAGCAAGAGGGATTAATGGCAATACGTCTTTTACTGTAATAAATTTTTTTATGAAAACATTCACAATATTTTTCGATCACACCTTGTATAAATTATGATCCCTACCCTTGAAGAGTATCATAAAAATATGTACAGCAATATCTATAAACTTAAATAAAACAAAAATCGCTCAAGGTCATCATCTGGGAAAGACGAAGCCAAGGTAATGTTAACATCATTTAATATAATAATACAATAGCAGAGAGGGAAGTAATCCTCCCACTATACTCCGCAAATATTATAACTTAAAGAAATTGACAAAAATGAAAAAAATATGAAAGAATGAGTACATGGAGTCTATGAAGTAAAATGGGAGGAATTATGATTAAGAAGAAAATAAAAAGGATAAGTTAAATACCATCATTTTTAAGTATAGAAAAGTTTTTATGATGAAATTATTGAACTGAATCTCTTTGCTAATAGAGGGAAAGAGAACAAGCTGTGATAAAAATAGAAGATGCTATAAATAAACATAAAAACGAACAGCTTCTTACTTGTCATGGTAATAGGAAGTAGATATCTGGAGATGTTTTATGAAAGAAGAATCACCTATGACACAAACTTTTCATATAAGGCCAACATATTTACTTGATTTGTGCCCTCTAATAGAAAGTATTTTCACGGCTTTATTGTTCTGTACATCTAAATATTGCTCCAGAAGCCACAATGTCAATAGCACAATTTGACTTTAGCTACCCTGTGGGAAAACTGAAATGTCTAGTTACAAAACTCTCCCAAAATGTGTGTATTATGTACATGCATAAATACTATACACACAAACTTGTCTAACAAAAATCGCCATAATTTCAGTAACAGTTGTAAACACTGAAATTGCTGAGTATAAATGACAAGTAGAGTTCAATGTAAGCTTTGCAATTTTATCTGAAAAGTAATAGTAGCTTTTTTTCTGAATGAGATTATTTAAGTTTCAAATTCCATCATGACATAAGTCATAGGAAAGTATCACTTTACAAACTCTACCTAATGGCCTTTACCTGAGAAAATATGTAATTTAGCAAAACACACTACTTTTGTTACCAGAATTTTCTTCCATTAAGAAAAAAAAAACTGAACTAACATAATCAAAGTGATGCTCAGAAATCACTACTAGCTGCTGCTTCTACTTTCCAACCCATATCTTAAAGCAAAACATTATTTCAAAATAATTTTTCAAGTAAAATGTACTTGCATATGGAAGATAGAGCTTACCCCGTGTGCCCTAAGACGGTGGCATGGTGCAGTGGTCCCCTCCCTTGTATGTCTCTTTGGTTCACATTAGCACCATTCTGTAGGAGAAACTCGCATGTCACCAAAGAGCCCTTAGAGGAAAGAAGAAGATAACAATGTACAAAAAACAAACAATAACATATTTTTATTAAAAACTGAGTATTTATTTTAATAGCCTTTGTATGTGTTGCCCACCCCCCAAAAAAATATCCTCCAGCAGAAACTGAGAAATGATAAATTGTATTTTCTTCCCCAGAAATACTTCTAATAGATTCATTTGCAGTTTGTGATCTAACAAAACACACTACTTTCATTACCAGAAGTCACCTCAAGAAAAGAAAATTGAGCTTACACAATCAAAGTGATGCCAGAAATCACTACTAGCTTTTTCTTCTATTCCCCAACCCACCTCTTAAAGCAAAAAATAATGCTAAAGCCATGTCCCAAATGAACTTATTTTTTGTTTTACTACCACTGAAAATCTCAATGTATAAATCCATACCCCTAATACAGACTGAATAAGTGGTGTTGCTTTGTTTTCCTCTGAATTAGCCCAGTTCACATCTGCACCATGAGCCAAAGCCTCAGCCATTTTAGGAAGATTTTTTTCATATGAAGCCCTATAAAGCTGGAGTCCTGGATTAAGCTGTTTAGAGTCGAGTAACACAGAAGAATCTTGCTTTTCTCCCTCTGAAAAACAAACACAAACGCATCAATAAAAATGAGCTCTGACGGGGAGGGAGAGAAAGGGAAGTTGTTTCATAGGCACAGAAGTTTAGTTTGTATGATGAAGAGTTCTGTGGATGGATAGCAGTGATAGCAGTAATTCACAACAATGTAAATAGACTTAATGTCACTGAATTATATACTTAAAAATGGTTAAAATGGTAAGTTTTATGTGTATCTTACCACAATTTCTTTTTAAAAAATCAACTCATAATTGTTATCACAATGTGAAAGTTGTGACATGAGAAACCACTAACTTAACAAAACGAGGGAGATTTTCACAAATATATCTTACTTCCAATAGACTTATCACTCCACAAACAATCAACCTTCTTCTCTTACAAAGAAATCGATTGGTATACCAGGCTTTTGTGGTCTTGCCAGTACCCAACTGGTAGGTTAATTACTCTGTGCTAGATTAAAAGTAGATATATTCCTACAAGCCTGGACTTAAGCACTCAGAAGACGCAGTAAGAATCCCTAAAGACTTTTACTACAGACTACACCTTACTTTATCTGTAGGATAGTCCAATACCATCACAATTTGCAGCACAAGCAATTCAAATCATCTGAAGAATGCTTACTACCCTAAATATTCTGCAAGACCAAAATCACTGAAACCATGAAGGAGAAAATACAGGAGAAAAGTACAGGTCACAAGAAAAACCTAATGAGGAGAGAGGTGCTCATCTCTTTCTCCTGATAAGAAAACACAGCCACAAAAAAAGATAAAGAGTAACAAGACAGTTCATGTGCATTGAAAATTATCCTTAGCTATTGACAAGGCACTTTTAACATATATCATGAGGCTCAGAAGAATGTACAGCTAGGAGAGAACTTCCAAATATGAAAAGAAACGGCTGCTTTCCATTTAACTGTAAGACTTCTCACTTAGTTCCTTCCAAAAGACTATTTCCTTTAGAAACTATTTAATCAAGACTAGGCACGCACCACATGCATTTTTCAGCAAATAATACCAATTAACATTGAATTTCATCATAACTCACCAGGCTCATATAAACTATTGGCTGACACTGTGGAGGGTAAAGATTCTCTTCCATCATCGCAGCTCTGCTGGATTCCACTGTCATTACTTTTGACTGTTTTAAAGAAAAATCAGCTAGTGATTAAAGTTCATGCCATTAAGAAAACAATCTCCCACAAAGAGGTTTTAAAATGAACTCTGATACATCAATGTGAACTCAGCCACCACCAGTAGAACACATTTCACACAATTTTAATCCTTTCAAGCACTAAGCTTATCAAAATATGAATCAATCACAAAGCCTGAAAATACACATATTTTCAGAGTCGTAACATAACTCATTACCCCATAATATGTAATGGGTAGTAAAGAACTTAATTTATTATATGATTGTAAGTAATGTGTAATTCCGAGACAATGGGTAACATCTAGAGAAATGGCCACACCGCACAATGACCACTGGCACAGACTTGGAATGCTCCACAAGAGTAGTACTTACTACTACGCAGTTTTGAAGAAGTATCAAAGTAGGAGAAGAGTGAATCTAGCTCATCAGGACAGAACAGAGACTCCCGCCTGGCCTCGTCGCTATTTACAGCAATCACTGGGGACATGCAAGTTAGCAAAGCACAAAGCAGGCCATAAGAAGGGAAAAGGGCAGGAAAAAACGTTATTGGGAAAAATTTAGGAGGAAAAAAATTGGAAGGATATTAGGTGGTTAATCAGATATTTAGGGCTTTTTGCCAGGATAGATGTATAATCCCCATCTCCCCTTGCATTTTAAGCAGTTTTATCCTTTAGAATATACACATTACCTAGAAATGTGAATTACCAAGACACCATTTAAATTTAACTGTCTTAAAGACATAGAAATCCAATTTTTCCTTAGAATATGTAGAAGGAAACAGGTTTTTAGTATTTAAAAAATCTGCAATGGCTACTAATTCAAAGATTACAGAAATATTTATACACACAAGTAATCTGTAATACCTGAACTTTGGGAAGATGCTCTGAGTTGGTCACCTGGCCCAAGTTTAGAAATGCTCAGCCTCTTTTCTTCACAACTTTTGGAGACAATCTTTTTTTCCTGCTCAGGAGGTGATGATGATATAGAATCCTGGTCCACAAATTTCCTCTCCACATATTTTGCTCTGATATATGCCTCTTTCTCCTGTCTGATATAGATAAAAATGTCATGATGTTCTGCTTAATCTCTGAGTATGGTTAGTACTGAAAAGAAGCCTCCATATATATATTTTAACATTTTATATATATATTTAAACATTTTATTGAGGAATTGGGGGAGGGAACAGCATTGGGGAATCGGAGAAGGGGAACAGACAAGTTGCTGTCCTTTTGTTCTTCATTCTAGGTGTGGAGAACGTCGCTTCACTAGCCCATGTAGGTATTGTGATCATTGCGCTCTTCCCGAGCTGAGGCAGTCAGTCGCCAGCCATTATACGGCCGCTTACAGCTCACAGCAGCTCACACCGGCTGCCCGCCACTCACGGTAGCTCACGGCAGCCCACTGCAGCCTATGCCGTCGCTGGCGATTCACGGCAGCCCAGCTCCAGGTTGAGCTGTTGTTCACCATCTTAGCTGTAGAGGGTGCCAGTGTCACTGGCCCATGTGGGATCCAAACGGCAGCCCTGGTGCTCAGAGCTCTCGCTCCCAAGCCAACTCATTTTTTTAAGATTTTTATTGGGGAATTGGGGGAAGGGGAACAGACAAGTTGCTGTCCTTTTGTACTTCAGTCTAGTTGTGGAGGACGTTGCTTCACTGGCCCAAGTTGATACCATCATTGCACTTTTCCCAGTGAGGCAGATCAGTTGCCTGGCTTCTGGACAGCTACTCACGGCGGCTGCTGGCCGCTCACGCTGGCTGCTGGCCATACATGGTAGCCCATGGCAACCCACTGCAGCAGGAGCTGCAGCCTACGCCGTCGCCGGCGACTCACGGCAGCCCAGTTCCAGGTTGAGCTATTGTTCAGCATCTTAGCTGTAGAGGGCAGTGTCACTGGCCCTCATATGTGGGATCCGAACCGGGGCCCTCTGGCATCCCAAGCCAGTTCTTAACCACCGCACCACTTGGCCGGCCCCCAAGCCAACTTTTAACCAACAAGCCACTCAGCCGGCCCAAAGCCATTATATATTGAATATTTCAAAGAAAGTCAGTAAATGTAACACTAGTTAAAACTGAATTTGTGACATTATACAAATGTTTTCCTTCCAAATATTTAGTGAACTATTTCATGTTCAAATGAAATACAAATAATAAACTTACTGAAAAATCACAAATATTAACATGGCACTTTCTTATTCTCTTAATTTCTGTGCTCATTCATTTCTAAACATAGTCCCTTTTGCTTTTCACAGAATGAAAAACATTACTAATGAAACTATAAAAATTTATAGAAATTTTTAATTTCACTTTTACTGTAATGATAATGTCACATACTGAATTATCACTATTGATGGTCATAATTTTTCATAAGACAACTACTTTAAAAATATATAGCATTCCTAACTTAAGGGGAACAAAAGATGTCACATTTTAAACTTTTAATTTATTATACAATCCATAAAATGCCAAGTCTGTTTTATACCTTTTTTTTTACTTATATCCTTTAAAAATGTTTAGGTCTTTGGCTAAAATAGGGTATTTCAAGGTCTAAAGTAACTCAAACAACCATGCTTTCACAAATAAATAACCTGAAATAAGTGATATTGGCTTAGAGAGCAATAACTTTAAAACAGTATTGAGTATACATAAGGACTTAGTCAAATATAAAATCCTAACATAGGATTACAGCAAATAAAATTTTAGAGCTAAAAATAAAGAACCATAAAGACTAAAAACATCAACAACAAGAACGAATTATGTACCTTAAAGGCACTCTTAGGCACTTCATTCAATGAGCCTCCATATATAGAAATGGAAGTATAACGTCAAACACAGCAATTAAGTACTCCCTTATACCCTGACACCTTTAATTCTTCAACATAATGCCATATATGAAGAACATAATTAACAAATATGCCCTGAACTAAGTCACACAATGTAAAATTATTCATTTTATGCAGTAAAAACTTGATCTTTGGATGCATTAATGAACAGATTATCGCTTTTTAAAGGTTGGCCACTAATAGAAGTTCGGTCTACTTTAACGGCTAAGAGCTCTTTAGAGTCCTAAGTAGAACCTTAATTTTTAAGATTCTCTCTCATCTGGACATTATAATTGATTACCTGATCAATAAAAGATAATTATCTAATTAACATTCCCAAGAAAGAGTCACACTTTAACAAGTAGTAATGATCCCTTCTAAACAGTCTGTCTCAGTATTAAGTATCACAGTGAAATAAAATCATAGCTATCAATATTCCTGATTAGGGGAGGAAAAAAAAAAAGGTAACACATTAAGACAATTGCAATAGTACCTTTGTCCTGGTTGTGGTTTCTTTATTCCCATTTTTTCCACTTTAGCTTCATAAACTCGATTTATAACATCATTCCCCAACTCACACATAAGCTGTTTGACAGGAAAGCAGAAAAATAAGCTATAACTTCCTAAAAATACTATAAAAGTCATTAAAGCAAGTTCAGCTAACTATAACTAATTCTTTTTTTTATATTCTATAATTCTCATTCCACAAAGAAGTTTAAAGTTAAAGCAAAATGAGACAAGGACTGAGAACAACATTACCATTTTGCCATTCTTCACCTACAATACAGGGTTTCTCCTCTCCTGCCTTCTACTAGTTTTCTATCCCTCCACTGTGGCTAGCACAATGCTGCATATTATTCACAATGTCTGGTAAATTAAATGAAAAAGGAACCCTAAAGCCAGACAGGTAAAGTTTTAAACAACACAGAATTGAAGTAAACTATATTCCCCTTATACTTCATATATAAGTATTACAAAATATTTTGTATAAAAGTTTTGGTCATATTTTTTTAATGTATCAGACAGTTATGTTTCAACCAAATTTTCAATATTGAATCCACTGACTTCATATCTACAAAGTTGATGCAGAAATTAGATTTCTACCCCTCTTCCCCCACTTTCTTCACCTTTGAGTTCGTAATAATTAATAGAATTGATGTAAACAGGGCTCTACCTTAGGAGCCAGCTTATCATTTTCATCTAGATTTTTACATGATAATTCCACAAAGCAAATTTTTTACTTTACATAATTGACAGGGTTACCTATTTATCTATGGATTGAAATAAAAACACAAACACATTATGAACACAATTTTCAGCCAAATTAAATGCAGAGTACACTACAACCTTTAAACTAATGGGGTGGGGAGAATAAAAAGGAGTATATTATTAACTGCTATGAGTTTTGTAAATCACATCAGAAACCCAGATGTGATCTAAATTTATAACATTTTCATAAATATGAATCCTTACACACTGAAAAAGGATGTCTTCATTTGATGACTATTACCCTGACAAATGTAAATTTGCATATGGTCCTATGCTAAAATAACCCACTGAAAACAATATGCTATACCAATCCATGATGGAGCTTACTATAGCAATATGTCTCATATTTTCACCAAGAATTTATATAATTATAAAAGATTAAAATTAAGGCACAGAATCTAAGATATCTTTTGAGAAATATAAAAATGTAGGAATGCTGGTTTCTTTAAAAGTGAACTGACTTGGAGTTAAGAGTGCTATTATACTTAAACTTAGCAATTTTTAAAACCCAATAAGAAAACACCAGGTTTGTCAAAACAGCCTCAGATATGTTCCAACACAATTTAGTTCATTGTTAGCATTAAGAAACTCATACATTTGAAAACTAAGATTCTAAATTCCTGAACTTTCATGTGAAAATATTTAATATTTTTAAGCAAATATTTATTTTACCTTTAAAAGTTCAGGCTCCCAGGTATCTAAAGTTAAAGAACGTACTTTTGAAAAATGAACTCCCAGGCTCCTAAATGGGAAAAAAATATTTCGTCACCATATAAAACTATCAGTCTCTACTTGCATATTATGCAAATTATTTTTCTCTTTCAATGTGATGTAATCATCTCTAACCTAGCCCACAACACACATATAAATAGGGACAGATCTTCTGATTTATCATGAATGGTGAACCGAAGTCCTCAAAAGTCCTTCACAACCAGAAATTTATCCACTTTACAAAAAGATACAAACTGGCAGTCAAATTAGGCAAGTGGAAAAGGACTTCTAACCAATGGGGCATGATAATTTACAATGTGCGTTTATCCAAAAGAAGTCTGTCACCCTGGGCAGGCCTACCCACCGGTGAATCCCAGAACACTCGATACACAGGGTGATGCCCAGGTTGATGCTGGCCCACCGTGGGTCTGCCAGACCACAGTCACAACAGCTGGCATTGCCAGGAATACACTGGACTCGCTGCAGCGCACTTTCTCCTTTCAATAATTTATCTTTTGACTCATTTCCAGAATCTAGGCTTCCTGTGGATGGAGATGATTTCTTATCCAGCTTCTAAAAGAATTAAGAATTATTTGTTAAAAATAAAAAAACAAAGGCTGTCATACTATGTTGTATATTACATGCTCCAAAAAAAAGCTTCCAGTCAGTAAACTGAAGACCTATTATGGGCCTAAACCAGGCACTGTTCTAAGCATTAGAGATTTAAGAATGAAAAGATATAGTTTCCTCTATCAATTGGATTTTAGTCTTGTGGGGAGAAACATGAGCATTGAAAATTATATATATATATATATATATATATATATATATGTAAAGTTTATATATATATATAAAATATATATAAAAGCATTGAACATATGTACAAGATATGAGGTCAAAGAGAAAGGGGAACACTCATTTCACATGCAAGAGACAGAAGGAGTAAATAACAACACTATTAAGACTCAAGAATAAAATAAATATTACAATTTTATACCAAGTTTTGCAAGGTATTCAATGAACTGCAAGCAAGTTGTTTCAACTACTGCAGTAAATAACTTGGCAACAGTACCGCCTTTTACTAAAGAACAGATCAATTATATAATTATAACTACAGAGTGAATCAACAATGGAATGCACAAAATGTAAACTCTCATGGGCTATTAGGAAACCAGGAGAAAAGCAAAAGGTGGCAGATAATCAAAAAGCTAATTTTTTAAGTACACAGCAAAGTCTATACCAACAAACAACAAATACAAAGATGTGGTTTGGGGATTCTAAGGAATTCAAGATACGGTCTAAAAAGTACCCGGGTTTAAAAACATTTCAGCCTTAACCAAGCCAGTTATTTTAGTGTAGAATCATTAGAAATATAATTTGGCCCTTGCCTTGCCCTTCCTGAAAACTCAATTCAATAACTGTTAGGTAAGGCCAAGCAAAAAAAAGTGTGGAGATATGGTATTCTGGAGAGGATTAAGCTGGGTGAGAAGCACATCCTCAAATGAGAGCAACAAAAGCAGGCTGTTGCTTCCAAGGGTATCTGCACAGGGACACAGGCCAGCAAGGAAAATGAGAGCCTGAGAAGGGAGAGCAGTGTGGAGTGGGAGTGTCAAACTATGAGGTGTCACAACCTGAGTAGGAGGAAGGGGCAGGTGGCAGCAGAGACAGGATATTGGTTACATACAGGGGGACTAATCATATAAACAAACATGTTAAAAATAAGTGGGAGCCAGATTCCTTACTGCTGTGAAAGGAGTTATTCATATGGAAAGGGAGGGGATTATAACAAAATTTGCTGTATTAGAATAGAACTGGAGATGCCATAGACACAATAATGGTTTTCAATATAAATAAATATATAAAGAAATACAGATGAATATGTGTGTATCCATATATATACTCCCTTATCTTGGTTTCTAAAAACCATTCTCCACCAAAAGGAACTAGGGCTCTTTGGAGAAACTGTTGATTTCAGAGCTGGTGCAGAAAAAGTACAAGATGAACCTGAAACACGTCATCATGCTACTAAATAAGGAAGAACTCAAAAGATTGATGGGAACGGGTCAAAACAATACAGAAGCCAGGGATCTACTGGCCAAATGTGGGTCAATTTGAGCAACAAAACAAATAATGTTAGTAATAGATTATAACACATTGACTAATAGGGGCCTATACTGACATAATAATAAAATTTAAAGCTTGATAAGGAACAGAATATTTACATAGTCTCAAAGTCCCTCCTCCACAAAATACTACCTACAAAAGTAACTTTACAGTAAATAAGTCTAACAGAAACCATCTTAATCAAGTGATCAAAGACAGTATGACCAATAAATGAGACAAATCAAAATCAAGTGTCACCTGAGAGGCTGCAATGAGAAGAACACAGCATCATTTATACAATATTCCTGCCAAAGATGCACAGCCTCATGAGTAAACATCAGACAAGCCCACACGACATTCTACAAAATAACTAGTCTTAATCTTCAAAACTATCAAGGTCAAGAAGGTCCAAGTTAAGACTAAAGAATTATTCCTGACTAAAGGAAACTGAAGAGTCATAACAACTAAATGCTACCTGTGCTTCTGGACTGGACCTTTTTGCCATAAAGAACATTACTGGGACAACTGTTCAAACTTAATGATGTTTGGAAATCAAAATGGCAGTAATGGTATCAATGCTCATTTCTTGATTTTGATAGCTATACCGTGATTATAAGAGGTCACAGGCTATGGGAAGTACTCACTAAAGAAATAATGGATGATGGGGTATCATGTTAGCAACTTACTCTGAAACAGTTCAGGGGAAATGTTTATTTGTACTATACCTGGAATTTATCCGTAAGTCTGAGATTTTTTAAAAAAATTTTTGAAAGAGAAACAATCTGTTTTACTAGAACACGTTCGATAATGTGAATTAGCTCATAAGAAGTCATCATATAGGGAAAGGATGTCAATATAATGCAGAAATCATTTGGTTCATTCCTGTTTTCCTCTATAAGCTAATACTTTTACACCAAATTAGAGCACTTGAAAACAAAGTCCACTAATGTAGCATAACTTGGGCTAGCTACCTCAAGGAACACAGGACTGAACATGATGCCCATCCCCCCAGTCTTCTTGGATCATTTTGGCCATGTGCTCTAACTTGAAAGTGTTGACTGCATTAGTCTCCTTGATCTTTAATGTATTTTGCCTTTGTCACCATAACTGAGTAGCCTCAGCCCTTCTGTATGTTTCCATGAAGCTATCGTCACCAATTTTTAAAGTTAAGTCTTATCTATATTGTAGTATTCGTTTATTAGGAATTTAGCTGTCCTGGTATTTAGTATTTCAGATACTAAGGTTCCTGAAAGTATTCTAGTTACAAACTTACACAGGATTTTAGGTCAGCTCTATCCCTACTTGACCCATAATCCCTATTATTTCTAGTATATTATTTTGCATAACCCAGGTATTTCAGCAATGCCACCAGCTTCTTAAGATGATCTGGATACACAATTTTGTTTCCTCTAAAAACTCTGCTAAAAACTAGAGAGTTTTTTAAACAGCATTACCCAGAGCCCTTTTTGGACAAAGATGTGATAATCTGAACATCAAAAAGAATAATTATTGTAATTAATTGGGACCCATTGTATTTACAAAAATCCATGAGTTAATGATACCAAAAAAAACTAGACATCTGTTCCCACTTAAAGTAGCTAATGAATTAAGCAAATATGGTAATTAAAAGCAAAAAAAGTAAGCACTTTATTACAATAACTAAACAACTCCAGTTGATGAAGAAAAGCTGTATTTCACAGGAGAATGAAAGTTAATAAATGTAGGTGGGTTGACAGAATTAGGAAGTCATCATTTTGCAAATCCTAATGAAATACCAAATTCAGCTGTAAAACCATTAGATGAATAGTTTATGGGTGAGTAGATCTTATTGGGTCAAAGTAACACAAAGTAGATTTGTTACCCAAAGTAATAAAGTAGATTGGGAACAAGGGAGGGTACATAACTTTGTAACAAAGGGATTCTACTGTCATCTCCCTAACCCATTTTGTCCACTTCATTTTCACAGAAACCTGATCTTAGCATTAGCAATGGTTGGATAACCAAATATTGTGTGTCTCCTGTTGCAACATGAAGTATACACATCACCTATGATGTTAATTTTATAAGATGGAATTCTACACGAACAACTAACCTGATTTCTTCAGTAAATCATTGTCATGAAAAAAAAAAAAAAGGATTGTTCTAGACTGAAAGACTTGAGGGACATAACAACCAGATGCAATGCCCAGTCACAGATAAAATCCTACTTTGTACAACAGGTTGTAAAAGACATGTTGAGGACAACTAGGGACATGTGAATGTAAACTGGTTGATAGGCGATAATAAGCGATTACTATTAGGTATGGAATTACATGATATCTGTAATCTACTTTAGAAATTTTTAGTCTTTTTAAATGAAAATAATAAAGACATTTTCCATTTTCCCACAAGAATAGGGATAACAGGGAAGAAAACAACAGGAACAAAGTTTTAAGAGCTGGAAAATGGGTAGATGAATGGTAACTGAACAGACCAAGGCCAAATCTAAGGATGGCAGTAAGAAAAATAAATCTAAGAGTTCATCAATTTATATCACATAATATTCAAAGGGTTCAAAGGTTTATTATACAAGTTAACCCTGGAAGTGGGGATAAAGTAGGAGGAATGACTATGTAAGAAGCACTTAGATCCAAAGGTAACCCCCACTCCCCCAACTCCACGCCATTAGAGGACTGCTCTCTAGACAAACACAAATGACTGAAAGTTTACCCTCTGGTGAAGTGAAACAGAGAGTCTCTGGATAGGATTTACCTGAAAGGTGGAAGGCAGAGGATGAAATGAACATATACACACTGAATGCTGAGACCCCCAGCAATTAGGCCCCAGCCAGCCCCTTACCCTTCTGCAGGTGAGTGTTCTCTGGGGAATCGTATCAGCTGAAAAGACTCCAAGATTCCTAATGCTGGTTGTTCCTCAACAAATGGTCCAGACTTTGGCAAAGCTCACAGTTAACAAAGTCCTAACTAGGTTCTCAGAGCTTCCAAAGGGTAATTTTTAATTCTTAACTTGTGCTCATGAGCAGATTACCAGACAGCCAAGGAAGGTCTCTAACACAATGGTTCTCAACATTGCATGTACACAGGAATCACTTAGGAATCATTTAAAAATATTGATGCCTGGGTCCCAACTCCTATTCAGCTGGTGTGTGGTGGACCTCAGCCCTGGGATTTTTTTAAAGCTCCCTGTGTTATCATAATGTGCAGTGAAGGTTAAGAATCACAGCTCTAAAACTGCAACCATGAAAAAAAGAATGGGTTTACATGGATAAACAAACAGAAAACAAAAAGAAACTCTTGGAAATTAAAAATATGCTAATAGAACTAAAATATTCAATAGAAGGCTTGGAAGAGTATTAACTGACAAATCTCCCAGAAAGTATAGCAAAACACACAAAAAATAAGAAAATCCTAAGACTAGTCCAGAAATTCCAGAAAAAAACAACAACAGGGAAATTGGAGAGGAAGAATACAAAAGATCAGTAATAAGTAAGACTCCAACAGCAACACTGGAAACTAGAAAAACAATGCAGTTAAAGTCTGTAATAATTATTTCCAACCTAAAAATTCCACACCCGACCAAACTATCAAACAAATGTATGGAATGAAGACACTTTGCAGACAAGCGTGGGCTCACAAACGTCTCATTTTCAGGACGCTACTGAAAGGAAGTGGTGAGTTCCATTTCTCAAGACTCAGTAACGGTTCTGCTCAGGAGTTTGTAAACTCCTTGGGAAGCTGAAGCCAGACTATGACCAAGTTTATCTTCTCCAGGGAGACTTCAACTAAGAGACAATTTGAGCTTTCCTTTTCTGCTTTTTACCCAGTTTTAATTTTACATACCTTTCACATTCATTATTTTATTATTAATTAAAATAATTAAATATTTTGGGGAGAAATGCTTGCATCAGAATCCCTTAGTCAATCTGGGACAATATTCAAATATGGAATTACATGTATTTTGAAATATTGAAATAAAATTATAGGTAAAGTCAAGAGAAGTAAACAAAAGAGAAATTGAATCTAGATTTTAAAAATAAAACCCATTTCAATTTTTAAAAAAAATCATCCTCCACAAAAAAAATGTTATGGGTGATGGGGGTCAAAAAGTAAAAATTTCTAGTTATAAAATAAATAAGTCATGTGGATAATTTACAACATGGTGACTATAGTTAATAATACCATATGGCATATTTCAAAGTTGTTAAGAAAGTAAATCTTGAAAGGTCTCATCACAAGAAAAAAATTTTTTGTAACTACGTATGGTGACAGATGGTAACTAGACTTATTGTGATCAATCCATAGTGTATACAAATCAAATCATTGTGTTGTACACCTGAAATTAATATAAAGTTATTTCTCAATATACCTCAATCAAAAAATATTTTAAAGAATGTTATAATCATACAGTGTTGTAACTAAAATTAAAAACTTCTGGCAATATATCATTTGATATACAATATTATTTACTAACCTCTGATTCATCACCCTTCTCTCTATAAGCAGTAGCAATACTTGTCTGAACAGCCTTAATCCATGCCTGGCGCAGCTTTTCAGAATCTGCCTGAAGCATACAACTTCTAAAAGGAAATAACATTGTTTTCTCAGACACTACATTAACCCAAAAAATAATAATAGGATTTAACTTTTTTGTCCACTTTGCTATTTAATGATTTTCTAACAAAAAAATAATTTCTGTTGAAAGGTCTCTATAGATAGATAGATAAAAATCTATCTTTAGGACAGAGTGTGTTCATGAAGAAATCAAGGTACCAATGAAATAAGTTACCTATTGAAAAGAAATCACCCATTTCTGCACATTTAAAAAAAAGCACTTTAAATTTGCCATGTAAACATAACACATTTTTTTTTCTATTGGGTAGAAATACGAAATGATAGTTATCAAAAAACTTGATCTGATATATGACTTCAGTTAATCAACTATGACAGTTAAAAGTGTTCAAGGGCCGGCTGAGTGGCTCAGTTGGTTAAGAGCTCGCTCAAGAGTTTGAGCTCTGAGCAACAGCGGTTCGAGTCCAGCCCGAGCTGAGCAGCCGCTGAGCTGCCAACAGGTAGCAGGATGGCTCAGCTTAAAAAAAAATAATAATAATAAAAATAAATAAATAAAGACTATGACACTGGATAGAAGTTAAATAAATATCTAACTGTAATATCTGTATAATCATTAGTTAATGAGATTCACTTTTAAAACACTTTCTTCCTCTTTAGCACAGATCATCAAATGAAACACAAATCTTACTCTACTCTGGAAAGTGGTTTCAGAGAAACTATAGAAACATAAAAGCAACTCTCAAATTCTTTAAAACCACTCACTTTGTTGGAGAGACCACCTCAAAGCAGAATCGTCGTTCTATGTCTTCACAATGTTTCACTGTGCAGAGCCTTAGATCTTCTACTACCACAGTAGGGTTATCCTACAGTGAGGAAACAGAACTCCCATGTTTATTAATCTATGTTTTAATACCACCACCAATAACAATATACTTAAAAATATTACTTGGAATAAATGGTCCATTTTTAAAGATTTATATTTTATCTTATTTTAGATTAGAGATGGGAGTTATTAACACAGATATAACTATAAAGGTAATTCTGCTCTGTTAATAATTTTATCTGCCTCATAAAATTTCTGTATAAGGATTAAATGAAATAGTTTAAACTTAGTCCAACATCTGGTAATTAATTAGTAGATGCTCAATAAATGTTAGCTTCCTGTTAATTTTCTTCCATTTTCTTTCATATCCATTACACCTTTGGTCCCTCCTCACATATAAATAAAAGCTACTTTCCTCCAAAAAAGAAGCCTTTAATGAGTCAAGTTTTAAATAACCGGAAAAAAAAAAAAGAGAGAAGTCTTTTTAAAGTACCTAAGAAAATGAGAAAGGATTTCTCATTTTCTAGTACTTAATAAAAATACAAACTCAAAACCAAGTTTATATGAGTAGAAAAAACTATGAACTAATTAGTTAGAATAAAGGACTTAGATGAAAAAAACCTGCAACTACAGAACCTAGCAAGTAAAATTTTATATTGTGTCATCTCAAGAGTAAAATAAATATTTGAAATTTACAGTTAAAGGTATCATTCATAAAGTCTAACTAGGAAAAAAACCAAGTCATCAATTAACTAATGGTTCTTTTTTCCTAATTATTTTTAACATTCTCAAATCACATGTAGTCTCAATATGCCTTTCCAATAAAATTCTTCACCTTTAAAATAAGACTCAGGAAAATAAATATACAAAAACAACATTAATAAATTTAGAGGTTTCTATTTAAATTACTTCAAAGTTATAATTTTTTTTTTTTAAGATTTTATTGGGGAATTGGGGGGAGGGGAACAGACAAGTTGCTGTCCTTTTGTTCTTCAGTCTAGTTGTGGAGGATGTCACTTCACTGGCCCATGTTGGTATTATCATTGCGCTCTTCCCAGGTGAGGCAGTCGGTCACCGGTCATGGGACGGCTGCTCACAGCGGCTCCCGGCAGCTCACACTGGCTGCCGGCCGCTCACGCTGGCTGCCAGCCACTCACGCAGCTCACGGCAGCCCACTGCAGCCCCACTGCAGCCTACGCCGTCACCGGCGACTCACGGCAGCCCAGCTCCAGGTCGAGCTGTTGTTCATCATCCTAGCTGTAGAGGGCAGTGTCACTGGCCCTCATATGTGGGATCCGACCCGCAGCCCTGCTGCTCAGAGCTGGAGCTCCCAAGAGAGCTCTTAACCAGCTGAGCCACTTGGCCGGCCCCAAAGTTATAATTTTTAATGTCATTTCTAACCTTTCTATATTATCATCTTACAGTGATATTTCTTAAAAAGCATCCTTTTCTACAGCCTCAAATAGTATTGTAGAATGGTACTGTTATTCCTATCACACAGCTAGACAAAGAAACATATAAAGAAAAAGAAAGTAATAATCCTGGAACACAGGAAAATCCATCTCAAAGCTAGGAACTCAGAATTCATGATTCAGAATCATTCTGCTTCTAAGTATCAAATATTGATACTGTCCACTTTTGATTTATCTTATACACACCCAAACATAATAAACAGTAATTTCACAAACATGAGTATTCAGAACCAAAACTGGGGACTCACTGGGTTTTCACTTAATTATTTAGCAAAACACCTACCTTAAACTTTTTCTGGTAAACCAATTGATTGTTCTGTATCGAAAACCAGCGTCTAAATAAATACAAAATAGTTTTCACTAATATAATTTATTTCAGCTGTTATCAGAAACAAATTATTTGGAAAAGCACTAGAAAATCAGTGTATGGTAATTATGTTTTAAGAAGTACATTGTTTTGCTTTGCTTTATAGAAACTAATGCCAATGAGATAACTACTGAAAGTAAAGAACAATTTTAAACAATTGTAAAATCAGATTAGGAAAATAAAATTACTATATTTTTATTCATTTGAAGTCAGACATTTAAATCCTAATAAAAGCTGCTATCTTTTATGCTATCACCAAATAACTGTTTTAAAGTAAAAATTTAGTTTTCTAGAGGTTCCTCAAAAATAACGAAAATCTTTCCCCCGAAATGATTACTTTTATTATAAAGCAAAACTAAATTTATATTGTAAATCAGACTATCCATTTGTACAGAGTAAAACACTGCAATAAATGGTGCTTTGTTTTCAATCTTCTTGCAGCTAATTCAGCAAGCGTTTGATTTCTTAAGCAAAACAAAAAATTAAATCATTTTACAACTGCTATCAAACAGGAGATAATCGCCAATTCACTTGGCCTTATTTTCATATAAAATACTTCTAAGCAGAATAATCAAAGTTATTACTATAAATGATTCATCCAATGATTTATATTGTTCTGCTCAGTATTGTAAATTACTAAGCAAACAATTGACTTACAATCTTCTTTGGAAGAAAAAGCTAAGTTATGTATGGTATATTTACTAATTCTGATGTATTAAAACAATAAAAGGACCCTAACGACCAAAAAAAAAAAAATCACAGCCAAAAGCCATTCATAAAAGGAAGCAAAAATTCTCATCAAGCATGAAAGGTAAAACAATATTTGAGTCATTACATTAAAATTAGTCTCACATGAGATGATTTCTATTGTAAACATTAGTTATTAATCTATTAGCAGATATTCTACCTTTTCATTGACACTAATACAAAGCACTAGAAACTGTATTTAAAAGTATTTAGAATTTCTATTTTTAAAAATTAAGTTAATTCTCCGTAGCTGAGAAAATTAGATGCTTTTCTATTTTTAGCTAGACAGATTGTTAGATTTTCTTGCTACTTAAAAAGGTATCACCCTTTACCATTAAAATAGAGATTTGTTAAAGTAGCATCTAGATAAAACCAAGTGGGTTGCCTCTAAATGCAAATCATCAAGAGGCAGGCTAGAAAAGGAAGAACTTCTGGGTTTCTTTTCTTTGGGACACATAGTTGGTTAGAAATGTTAAAGGAAATACCTAAAAACAAAATGATGCAGCCCTGCCACACGGGATGACATGCAATGGAAACAATCTCTGATATTGATTAAAGTGTTTTGTAAAAAATCATTTGAGGTTGGATGAGCTATTTTAATAAAAATTCTTATTATGTTTAATAATACAGCAATCATATTATATGATTTGATGAAAACCTACATAGAGTTTTATTGCACAATGGAAAAACACCCATACAACCATGTCAACTTTTCATGCTTCTGAGGTCTTCAAAAATTAAATTTCTTTTGACCTGCTGCATCTTAGGATCATAACCTCTAAAAATAGTAATAAAATAGATAAAAACTTCTGTTTCTGGTCAGAGACCATTTCCTCTGATTAACTTGACATATCATATATGTGACATGATCATATATATTTCTGAAACCCAGTTCCCCTGCCATCTATCTGCTTCTGATGACTTCCTCACATCATCAGTTTCTGTACACTCAGGAAAGACACTATAAATTAATCTTAATTTGTCAACGCCTCCTAAGGAATAAAATCATAATGTATCCTAGGTAGAAAAAAATTTTCAGTTACTAATATCTTATGACACTATCTCCCCTCCTTTGCCATTAAAAAAAAAAGAAACTAACTATACACATTTACACTGATCACAACTTTAATCAGGTAAGTAAAATGGAATATAATTTTTAATTGCTCCTACAGAATAATCCTAGTTATTATTAACATCCTAATAAAAGCAAAAATGAGACAGTTCATAGCCTATGGAATACAGAAAAATTACTTAACATTTTAAGCTCATTCTACCTGCAATTTGAAGATACTTAAAAAGGTAATTAAATAATAATAATAAAAAAAAGACAAACTTTAGAAAGCACCGTACTGACAACTACACTATTCTACAAGATCCAGAAGCTGACCACAAAGCCAAAATATAAGAGTGTTTTAAAAAGGAAAATTTCTTGGTTCATTAAGAAAAAAACACCACATTATATTTCTCTCAAATTAAAATAATTCAATATAATAAAGATTTGAGACCAAAATATTATATTCATTTTAACAATTTAAATATTAAACAATTTAAATATTATTAAATTTTAAAAACCAACGAGAGCTTTCCAGGTGACAAAATTGGGGGAGGGGGAATATTAAAAAAATAAATCAAGTATCTTTTATCCTAGTTGATCACTAGTCCCAGAACCGCACTTGGAATCAAGAACATGAGTAAAAATCAAACTTCTAAATCGGTAGCAGCTTTATCACTAAAACTATACCGATAACGGATTCATGCACACATTCATATAGGTGACATTTAACAAAATTAAAAACTTGAACATGTATGCTCCTTTATTTCAATTTAATTTTTCACAGGGAAAAAGACCAAAATGGTTAAACAAACAAACAAAAAAATCTAGTAACTAACAATGTTTCCTTTCAACATAACTAATAAGGTTATTACCAAAGGGACTAATTCCTACTGACTGTTCAAATTTTTGAAAAGCGTTTACGGCCCTATTTCCCTTTTTAAAAAAAGATACAAAGGTATTCATATTATTCAATGTATATCTTCTTTGAGTAACTATAAATATATCAAATGTTCTTTTTTTTAGATTAAAAGAAATGAGGCGATGTCAATGAAAAGGTATAACTGAATTCCTCAAATAAGATGTTTATATTTTCTTTCCAATTTAAAACATGAGACTTTATATCCATTGCAAGTAATCCAAATGAAATGCAGGTTAATTATGAGCTTTCTCGTGCCAAAGAGGAAACTGGAGTAAGGTAGGGGTGAGGGGAAGAAAGCCATTTGGTACCTGATATGATCGGGCTTTTTCCTGTCGTGTGAAAAAATGGGGCAGGATTAAAACATAAGGGAAAGGAGGTAAAAGAATGAAAACGCAAATGTGCAAAATAAGCAAAGGACTAGCATGATATGAAAATAAAGCAAGAATTAAAGGAACAAGCTTAAGCTCATAACCTAACAAAATAGTCAAATATATCTGTTGCATTCTGTTCACATATTACACATATATGCATTTGTACAATTAATTCCAACTCTTAGGAATCTGAAATGCAAATAATTGAGAAATATTCAAAATTTTTCTTTAAGTAGCATGGTACAGAAAGTTCTGGTAGTACTTAGTGCAACTGGGCATACCTCTATCATCTGTCTCTATCATCACAGCTATTAAATATAGATAGTACCCTTCCCACCTTAATAATCTGTCCCTTATATATCACTACAGATATAGGTATATAAACCTGAGAGAAATAAAAACTTTTCATAAGGAAAGTGAGATCACTAATTAAGAATTTCAAAGATTATAAAATATTATTGGCAAATAAACCGTCCTCCTACCTGCTCACCCCCTCTTTTCATTAAATGACAGCAGAGACTCTAAGGCCACACATAAGTAGAGTTCATCTTTAATCTATGTATATACACTTCTTTTTTGAAAGCCAAGAGCCAATAAAAATAAAAATTTATATCTGTACTAGCAGCATATAAAATACTATGCTCTAAAAAACTGTGTAATACATTTTTCACTTTCAGCTATATTTTCTAGTTCAACAAAGACTGAGCATAGCACATAATTATTCAGCTTATTACTTTTACCAGTTTATTACTAAATAATGTTATATTCAATTATTTTTCTTATTTATTCGTGTTTTCTGAAATTATGAAAAGCAAAGAGAAATACAGGTATTAGTAATCCATCTAGCACTGTTTTGAGCCTGAAGTGACGCTGCCACACTGCGAAAATAGCCTGATACGGAAATATTACTTTGGTAGATCTCACATGTCTTCAGAAAAATATATATTATAGGCTTGTATAAAAATATTGAGACACCAAAAACTAGAAATCTGAAACCAACCAGAAACAAGCTCAACAATTCACATAAGACATAAAACGTTTCCCTCTTTATGCTACTTTAATCACATCACACACAATATGATCTCTTTAGTTAAATTTCAGATTACAGAATAATACGTTCAAGACATACTTAGGTTTTATAAAGCACAGGGTCAGGTTTTGAAACTACCAGGGATTCCCAGTCAAATTCACATTTCCCTAAGTAAGGAGGTCTTTTTAGAAAGTTGATTTTGAAAATTATTTTGCCACTATTCCATAAAATTATATTGTAGATAATGGCAAATTTGTCATCATATGACTGATGCCTTATGGTGATGACAACAACAACAACAACAAAATGTTCCCTAAAACTAATCCACAAGCAATCTTTAAAAAAAGGAATGGTGAGCAGAAAATCTTTGTCTGAATAGCTGGATTCCTGGATTTTTAAAGTTAAGGCACAAATATCACACATACACAATCTTTTATTCAGAGGCTAGTAGAATGTATTAAATAAAGCTGGTAAAGAACTAATTAGAGAAGTAGGTTAGACACTAAAGTCCTATATAGATAAAGGAAAATTCTTTGCAAGTATTTCCTGAGATTAGATTTTTGATAAACTTCATATAAGAAATTTAGATACATCTTCAATTTTTAAAATTGAAAAGCAGAAGAAAACTCTAAGTAACATTTAATAGATGACTTTTTTCCCTCTCCATTTTATAATTACTGATCCATAACGTAGAAAATACTTAAGATTACCGTTAAAAAGATTTTGACTTTTTTGTTTGTGAAAGAATTTTTATGTTTATATGCTCTATTCCTACAAGTCTCCTTTTTACTAGTGTTTCCATGTTTTACATGTTCTTTAAAAGCACATGAAAATGAAATTAATTTGCTATCCATAATTTTCCCTAATAATGCAAATGAATTAGGAAGAATTTTTAAAACAGTTTTTACGCAATTTTTAATAGGTGACGTTATATTTTGTTTTATCACAATATAGTTTTGAATTTCTATATCAAGTAAAAACAAAATGTCAGGTTTTACACTTCAATTTTGTCACAAACAAGCTGTGTAACACCTTGAATGAGCAACCATCTCTCTGTACCTCCATTCTTAACTAAAAATTAGGGTGCTGAACTACAGTCTATGATTCCAATCAATAACTGTCATCCTACTACATATAGAGGGCATCTCCTTTATAAAACGGCCTCATTTCTAAAGGTTATTGTCTTTTTCACTTTGCAAATGGTGGATAACATGTCTGCAACTGATAATTTACGTTATTTCCTACTTGATTTTAGTTACATTTTAATATCTATGCCAAGTAATAGAATTCATTAAACAAATAATAAAAAATAAAAACGTCCATGCTTAAATCAGAATTCATTTTCTTCTATCATCCTAAATGGCAAAGCAATTTTCCACTAACACTTACTGTGCTTCATTTTGAAGTCTGAGATCATTTCTCACTGGAATGTTGTTCATAGAAGTTCATTTCATTTCTTTTTAACACAATGGTATAGTTTCTATGAATTTATTTTATTTTCACTGTGTTAAACTTTTAAGTAGGTTGTTTTGAAATTGAAGGTTAAAATTCAATTCTAATATTACCTCATGAAACTATACTGGTTGAGATCTCTTTATTATAAAAATTTGATAATCACACTATTTTTTATTTTAATTTCCTACTTTGGCTATGGAAACTTGACAGAAAAGGTTTAAAGGGCTATTGTCTTAATTTTTACAGCTTAGAAAACAGAGTTTTAATTTTTCACTTTCACTTTACAATAGTTAGAAATATTATTTCTCACCAGACCGTCTTAGTTGGTCCTTCTATATTCATATATTATTTTTAAAGTTCTACATAACTCAAAGAGGCTTAAATATCATATATAATCATTATTCTTTCCATTTTTATATCCATTCTCAGATAAAGAAACAGCACTTCAAATAAAACATACCATGTACCACTTAAACATTTAGCAATATTGAATTCTAAAGAAATACTGAATAAATCAGACATTTTAAAATATCAGTGAATTTTTTTCTATATAACCTCATCACCAATAAATCAAAATAAATACACTAGGAACTCATTTCAATGTATTGGATATTCAAGCATATTCCTTTCCATTTAAACAAAAATGTATACTAAATTAAACTTACCAAGAAAACTCTACTTATTCTGCTACTGTACATTAAAAAAAAAACTTCTCTATCATTAAGTGCATTCATATCCTGTTCAAGTAGCAAAGAAAATGTATACATTCAACCAACAATATAATAGTAAATCAATTAACCAGAACCCAATACTCTCAACTATTACAAAATTGTTCTACTTTTATTTTTTGCAAAAAGAGGCACCCTTGAATAAAAGAACAATCAATGCTATTCAGAAGGACGACCCTGAGGGCCGGCCGAGTGGCTCAGTTGGTTAAGAGCTCGCTCAAGAGTTTGAGCTCTGAGCAACAGCGGTTCGAGTCCCGCTGAGCAGCCGCTGAGCTGCCATCAGGTAGCAGGATGGCTCAGCTAAAAAAAAAAAAAAAAACAAGAAAAAAAAAACAAACAAAAAAACAGAAGGACGACCCTGAATAGGATCTTTTATTTATGCCTTAATATCTGAAGTTATTCTACTTTATTATATTAATACATGGGAAAATACAATAAAATACGATAAAATATTTTATACATTCATTTACTGGATTAATATTTTATAAAAATAAATTCAGCAAAAAATATTCAGAGTTTTTGGTAGCTATTAAGTTTAGAATAAAGGAGCATCAGCTGCTACACATACTTCACATAAGAACAATCCCATTTCCAAAAACTCCTGGTTAATTAAATTTGTTGCAAAATCAAAAGATCAGCATCACCTGGCTTAAAATGCATACGTAAACACTAAGTAAAAATGTACATAAACATCATATAGGGGAGGAACACAAAGGGGAAAAAAAGGCTCACTTGGCCTATTCATCCATTATATTCAATACATAATTCGTAATCAGATTTATTTCAAAACAAATATGAAAGGTAGCTAACATTCAAATTTTACTTATTATAATGGTCTAGTCCCTACAGACTAAGCACTATAAAAATTCTCCTTGCTTCCTGGTTTAAACTTTGCTTAAATTTTGGAATTTAGAATTAGCGTTGTCATTTTTAACTTGCTTCTTAGGTTCCCCTTGCCTAGTAGGGCATCTTATTTTCAATGGACTGGGTTCGGGAAACTTAACTATGGACTGTCAATTTAGAGACTTATGAAGAAAAGAGCTGTCAAATCACAGGAAAAACCAGAAAACTGAGAATATGGAAAGACTGAGACTAGTATTTGAAATATATATTACCTGTTCCAAGTTTTGAAAGCATTGCTGGCTCGTTTGAACAGATATCCTTCCATAACAATGCCATTTGCAGCATCTACATTATATTCTAACTTAGAATCATCACTGGAGAAATCCTAGACAAAATGACACATAAAAAAGTTCATATGATTTGACTAAGTTCCCTAGACAACATATTTATCCTACAGAAACAGCTCAAATGGTAGAAAAGCTTTGTATTAAGACAGTTAGTTACATCAACAATATTCATAAGAAAGGGGGAGACCTAAATGTTCAATAATAGAAAAATGTTTCAACATATTAAAGTATTTCAATTTAGTGGACTATTACACAATAATTAGTATTATCATGATGATATAAAACACACATGATTATATAGAATATACTCTAATAGAGAAAACAAAATATAAATTGTATATATACTGTGATTAAAAGTACAAGATAATATGTATACAAATAGAGAACAACTAAATATTATACAGGGTGTTACATTTTAAATGTTTTCATATTTTCCCAACATTTTATGGTGATATGTATGCCAACAAAAAAGAGAATATGGATATATTTAATTGGGATTATTTAAATTTACCACTATTTTCTAAATATATTAATATTATGGTAGTTTTTTAAGCTGATAAGTGTAATACCCCCACTATTTGGGAGTTCAGACATAAGATAAAGGCATTTCTTTTCCTAAAATAAAATTCAGTTTTGCAAAGAAGAACCACAGTTTGAAGTGGGCATGCTGAGCTCACTTTTTTATGAGGATTATAGAATCATTCATAATCTTCTTCTACCATTCTAATATTCACTTGAATGCAATTCAAACTTTTAATTTTCTTCCAAGGGCTCATGAACTTTTCAAATCAGAGATCCTACATTTAAAATACCTCCTGATGAACTTTTTCCAAAGTAATTTGAACAAAACTGCAAGATGACTGTTACCCTCAAATTTAAAACTTTAAAAATGAGTCTCAGAACTTTCAACATTACTTCTGTACCAATTATTTAAATTAAAATGCTATCCTATTAAAGGAGTAGTAAACTTTGTGTCTTGAAAAAGATTTTGACAAAGGTTGGATGACCACCTGCCAAGATTGCTGGAATGTGTAGGTCCTGCACTGAAGGGAAGACGGAGTGAGACTCACCTAAAGGCCTTCTAAATCTAAGAGTCTACAAAGATCTTTCTAAAAAGGAAATAGACTAAATTCAGAAGTAAAAGCAAAAACTCTCCTGACATGTCTCAAAATTTAACAATAAAAAGGTATGATAATCCAAAGTAATCAAATGAAACAGAAACTGTAGATGAATTCCTACATTTCTTCCTACTTTTTTCTTTGGAAAAATAATCAGGGAAACTTTAATTCCCTCACTAAAAATTTATTTGAGGCAATAATAATTTATTTAATTATGCAGACAGGATTAAGTCAGCAAAAGATATAACTGAGTTTGACAACAAACTAAATGTTTCATTTGTAACACGGGCAGTTTTTTAATAACCCTGATGCTACTTAGAATATCAAATAAGACTTCTTTGAAAGTGCAGTGCAGTGCATTGTTGTGTTCTAATTTTCAACTACATTTCTTGAGATAAATTAACTCAACTTAATTGTTACTAATATCAAATGAATATTTTATAGTACATAAACTGTGACAGATTACTTGATTTTATACTGAAAGCAACTAACAATGCTGGATATATGACATTAAAATGAAAATAAATTGATAAATTGATGAATTAGAAAGGGATACTCAAAGGCAAAAGATTAAGTGAAAAGTGGAAGCCGGCTTTCACCTTAAGGGCATTTGCCTCACCAGAAGAACTTGAAGCTTTGGTTGTGGGGCCCAGGGAATAGAAGGCAAGACCAAGGTTGCCCAATGAAGGCAATCTAACAGAAGCTTTCCCTTTTGAAATTGCAAGCAAGACAAGAAGAACCTTTATTACCACTTCAATTCAAAATTATGTTGGAAGTCCTAGCCAGCAAGATAACAAAATGCAAAGGATTGGAAAGGAGGAAAATGAACTATCATTATTAGCAAATGATATGCCTTTGTACACAGAGCATCCAGAAGAATTCAGAGATAAATTAGTATTAAAGAAAGTTTAATAAGATTACTGGTCATAAAATCAATACAGAAAAATCAACTTCATTCTAATATATAACATAAGTAAACAGTGAGGAAAAAAATTTAAGATAACATAATAACATTTACATTATAAGTGTCTAGGAATAAATCTAACAAAAGATGTATAAGAAAATTATTAAATTTTATGATGGACATTAAAGAAAACTTAAATGGAGAAATATTTCAAGCTCATGGATTAGAAGATATTGTAAAATAAAGGTATCAATTCCCCAAATTGATTCATAGATCCAATGCAATCATAATCAAAATCCCAAAAGCTACTTTTATGCAACCTGAAAAGCTGCTCATGAAATTTATATGGAAATGCACAATTTAGGCAATTCACTTTTGAAGAAAAGAAGGTAGTAAGCTTTGCTTCATCCGATATCAACATATACTAACTATAAAGCTAAAATAATTAAGACAACATAGTATTGGCACAATTAAGACAAAAAGACCAATGAAATAGGATAGAGAGCCTGAAACAGACCTCACATGTATGGAAATGTGATGTGTAAAAGAGGATAAAACACACAGTAGTAGAGAAAGCACAAACTTTTTAATAACTGATTCTGGATCAACTAGCTACCAATGTGAGAATAAAAGGAAAGTGGATCTTTACCTCACACCATAAACAACCAATTACAGATGGATTAAAGATCTGAACATAAAAGGCAAATCTAAAATACTTAGAAGATTATACAGGAGATATATCTTCATGATCTTGTGATGGAAAGAATTTATTAAAACACAAAACACACACACACACACACACACACACACACACACACACAAAATAAGACATTTAAAAAACTACATGGAAATTAAAAACACATATACCCCACAAGGGAGCTTATATCAGAATATATAAAAAATTTGATCCACAGCTAGACAATCTGATGGAAAAAAATGGGAAAAAGACTAACAGAGATTTCACAAACAGGATATCCAAAAACAACAGAAATAGGAGACGGTGCTCAAGCTCATTTGTGACGAAAGTATAGATTAAAACCACAATGAGATTTCAAAATCTACACACCAAAACTGACAAAAATTAAAAACTCTCACGATACAATGAGGTGTCAAGGAGCAATGGGAACTCTCACACAGAGCTGCCTGCTGGGAATGGTATAACATTTTAAAAAACATTTTGCATGAATGTGCACAGCATCATCATTTCTTTAACTGATCAACTTCAATTCTTGAAAATCTAAATAATTACATTAGACGTACTTTCCCTTAATTTTTAGTTAACTGGATCTTTGTTCCTTATTATTATTTTTTTTTTACCTGTAATGCAGCCTTGTGTCAGCATTTAAGGGCAGAAAAAAGGTAAGTATACATAATGAGCAAAAATAGCATTACTTTCTTTAAAGGAAAACAGTAATTGACTATTATTTAAAATCAAATTAATTATTTAGATTTAAAAATCTACTGCCTTTGAGTTGTATATATAATGGGGAAAGATATTAAAAGATGTATAACATTCATCAAATAATTTAGTTTAAGCAAATAGTCACATGTTTCTAGAAATAACAAGATGTCTTGCTTTAATTAGTAATGATTGGTCCCAATTTTTAACAACATTTTCATGGTAATATCATTAAAATAAGTTACCCAACCAAAAGTGATTTAACCTTAAGCAAAACAAAACATGGAGTTAGTCTTACCTGTCTATAGCTATAAGTAACTAATTTAATTAAAGATGGTGTGGTAGACAATCTTCCCTTTTTTAAACATTGTTTCTCTTTGAGTATTAATAACGTATCATCAATAAAATTTTCCTTACTTTTATTACTACTGATTTCACTTTCATTTTTTTCCACTTGTGATGTTCTATGTCAGATCTAGTTTACTGGTATTTTAAATTCTAAATAAACCATAACAAAAGTTGATTTGACTACTCAACACCAAGGGAACAGATTTCTTAATGCAATGCTAGAAGGTATGTTTTTTTTGTTTTGTTAGAGGAAAGTGCAAATGCAGTCCCCACTACCACAAATTATGCAACTGAGTTTCCCACATTTGGGAAAACTGCAGGGGTCAGCACATGCAGAGTGCAACGGATAAGCATTGCCCTGTCAAAACCACCTTCTTAATCATGTTATCTTCCCATGACAGTAAGTACAGAAGACATTTGTCACATATTTGTATTATTACAGTCAACCTCCAATTCTCTCCTTTTATTTTCAGATTACTACATAAAAAAAAATCCTTAACCATATAAAATAAAATATTATTAGGCCGAGTTCCAGGTGTGTCATATTCAAAACTTTTAGCACACAGAAATAAAATCTGGTTTCATATCTAAATTTTCATTTAAAAATATATTTTTCAAATATCAGTTTAGGTAGGCTTAGGCAAGTTAGCAAGAAATGCAAGTGAAATGTCAGCATCACATGAAAGATGGGGAGTGTTGCCTTAGAGTGACTACAGCTGGAAAGTCCATAATACAAAAACACACAGTGATGCTAAGGTGTTCTCCTCCACGCCACCCCAGCCCCATCACCATGCTTTTACAGGGGTTGGTGATATCCTAACTGAAACTATAAATAGTGTTTTAAATTCTAACGAAGGGCCACTTTTAAGTTAAAGGCCCTAAAAGATTGATGTTTTTATAAACTGGTTCAAGAGCATGGCTTCCAAATATTTTGATGTAAAATAATAATAAAATAAATGCCTGAACATCTGAAAACTATTTTACTTTTCACAAAAAAAGGAGGAATTAATCCACAGAATTTAATTAGTAAAGCAACTCAAAGGATTTGTTCTAACACAATGGTATCTTGCTGAAACCAATAATCAAACAATTGTGTAAAGTGGAAATTAATCTCCTTTAACTTTTTCCCTCAAGTACCTTTTGTTGAATGGTGGAATGTTTTTGCTCCATCTCTCTTTTCTCTTTTGCTGCATCCACAACCAATCGATCCAACTATAAAGGAGGAATGGAGAAAATTATACAGACTTAAAAAAAAAAAAGTATGCTTATTTTTTTAAATCATATTACCAATAAGTCAGTCAATTTAAGTTAACCTAAAAAGGCACTTTGGCTACAACTTTAAAGTGAAAGTTTTGTTTTGTTTTCCTAGTATCAAATCCTCTTTGAGAAGGTCTGTAACTCCTCTAGGGAAAAGGTTTCTAAGAACAGTCATGGTTCAAGAAAATGTAACAAGAGGCCTTGTAAAGGATACAACAGTGATAACACTTTCTCTCCTTGAATAAGGAAAATGACTCTAGCTTAAATTTCCTGCTGTCCCACTCAGCAATTCTGGTAGTGATAATCAAAGATAGAAAGAAGATACACTGGGTTTTTTTTTCAAAAACATAAAAAAGTAGCAGCTAAGCTAGTGCGGGCTTGCTCTCACAATTCAACGTAACAAGACTTCCAATCACTCAAGATGCTTCATGTTTTCAAGTTGGCTTCCTAATGTTATAATCAAATCTAAAAGGCAGAAAAATAATTCACCAGATAAAAGAGAAAGCTAAAAAATAATAGTAATAGAATAGTAATCATTCATAAGACCAGGGTACAAAAATTACCCATTTTTAGATTCTTTTCTAAAAGCTCAGAAAATATTATGAAATAATAAAACCCATTTCTTTCTTGTTCATTTCCATCAGAAAAGATGATTTTCCATCAAAAGAGAAGTATCTGATTTCCAGTATTATGACAAATGCACTGGCTTCTTGAGCTCCTCTTTGCTGGAATAACAAACAAATGGGTTATAAAATACTCCATTATGTGGTTCTACTATTCTAGACTGTGATGCATGTCACGTCATCTTTGAACCCCCATGACCTCTGAGTAATGTGTGATAAATGAATAAAAAATGTAAATATCAACAGGAATGTGGAAGACAAACGTCCAAATATTTTAATTGATATTCTTTAAAAGCTGAATTGAAAAAAGCCTTCTTAAAAAACTATTTGATCTCTTTATTCACTCTGTCACAAATCTGTTTTTTTTTTCTACAGGGGAATAATTCTGGTCACAGAATCTTAATATCACTGAATAATAATAAAGAACCAAAACAAAACACACTGAAAGAGAACTATCACTATTATAAAATATTTTATTTAGATCGTAACTATACTACTCCACTTTAGGATCTAATACGTACATACCTTAGTGCCATGTAACATTGATTTAATGGGTAATGCTGGCACATGCTGACCTGGGAAAATGTTTGTTATACTGAATAAGTGGGACAACCATTATACCATGGTTTTATAGCCTTTAATTGAATGGCATATAAATGTTATTTATTCATTCAGATTGAAGTACAGTACAAGGCAGCCCTCAAGATTCAAACTAATATTTATAAACTTGAGTGCATATACCTTCCACACAGTACTGCAATGCAAGTGGTGGTTTTCTGCCTGTCAAATGGATAGTCAATTCCTCTGCTGCATCCCAACCCACTACTATTGCAGCAAAAAGGGGGGAAATATCCCTCCCTCTCTGTTGGGGTAGAAGTATAAAGAAAAAAATATTTTTCAACTTGGAAGAGGGTTGGGGGAAGTATGAGTTGGGGAGATGTAAAGACTTGCAGTCTCATCTCCTAGATGCTGGAGACTGTATCAGGAAGAGAGTCTGAAGCACCACAGGATATGCGCCATGTTTCTATTTGTGTTGCCGTTACGAGTGTAACAGCTCCTGTAACTAGCCAGGTGCCCCAATCTTCTACCTGTGTTCTGAATCCCTTCCATTTCCACCACCTCTGACACCATCACTTTCTGCTTTTCAACTTTTGCCATTCTCATCCGCTTTTAAATTTGTGCAAATCATACCATCTTAAAAAAAACTTTCCTCCAACACATATTCCATTCTACCTACCACCTCTCTCTCTTTCCTTCACAACACAACTTCTTGAAAAATTTTCCCTGTTCTCTACTTGCTGATTTCATTTTCACCTACCCACTGTAATTTAGCGTTCTAATTCTAAATTAGTTTAGAATTTCTGCCACTAGGACCCTCAACTCTCACAGAGGTAACAAGTAACCTTGCTGCTAAATCCAATAGGAAGTTCTCAGTACTTGATCTTCTCTCCAGTATTTGTACTGATAACCACCCCCTCCTTTTTGAGACACTCTTTCGTTAGCCTGTGCTACCACAGTTTCCCAGTTTTCCAACTCCTCTCCCATTTTGTTTTCATGGAGCTCCTCTTACCTAGACATCTCTTAAAAGTTGGTCATTCTTAGGGCCCTGTCCCAAGCCAGATTCTTGTTTTATTCATACTAGTAGACCTTAACCTTAACTTACCAAATCAAAATCTTTAGGCATGGTGTTTGGGCACTTACATTATTTAAAAATAGCTCCATGATTCTGATACCAATTACCTATCCTTAGGTCAATTCACCTATTTCTAGTGGTTTCAATGAGCAATTATATGCTACTGACTCCTCTAGCCTATATCTTTCCCTTAGCTCCAGATACATTCACTTAGATATCCACTTAGATATGCTCAAAAATCAACATATTTAAACCTGAACTCATCATGTCTCACTAGCCTCAAATTGGCTATATCTTAAATATCCCTCAATTCTTTCTATCTGTGTCCATCCCTACTGTCATGACCCTAGTTCCAGGTGCCGTTATCTCATAACTGAATTACTGAAAGAATATCCTAACTGGCCACCTCCAAACAGGCCATATTATCCACTGGGCACTATAGGCCCTGGGGCTTAAGTGGTTTTCAAGACCTGCAAAATTATTTGAGAGTTGGGAGAGGGAAAACTGCAAAACTGAAATCAATAAATGCCTAAAATATAAATTCTTCTAACTAGTCAATTACAATCCAACTAATTTTTAAAATAAATTATACTTAATGTAAGGTGAGTGTGCAATCTAATGTTTGATCAGATGTGGGGCGTGCTGAGAGCCTAGGTCTTACTTTCCTCCCAAGTCTGGGTTAGATGTCCTATCTATTATATATGTTCCTATTAACACTGTGATCCTCCACTATGTGGCAGAGACAGCTACCTGCCCCCCAATATCTACTTTCTCTCCTCTGTGTTAATAAACCCCCAAACTCTAGTAGACCACATGGTTACCGGGCATTCAGTCTGTATTTCCCAGCAGCTATTATGACACTGGAATGTACACAGAAGTGTACAATTTCCAGGAAATACCCCTAAAGAGAGAGACTGCATCTTCTCCCCTTTCCTCCTTCCTGTTAGTAGGAATTGTGGTATAATGGCTAAATCTTGATCAGCCACTTTGAACCATAAGGTAGAATCAAAAGATATAATAAGTCTGGGTCCTGCAGATCAACCATACCTGGCCTTAAAATGAGTTGATCTTGTTGAAAAGTGGTACTATTTTCAGTTTTCTATCACATGCAAACAAACCTAATCTCAATTTATATATCCAGGCAGTGCACTTAGCTCAGAGATGAATAGTATGGTGACTTTTGGTTTCTTCCAATAGATTAAGTTCTGTGGAGGCAGAGAACAGTACCTCTGTAATTCATGGCATGTGCCCTGAACACCATCCCTCCCCAACACCACCTGAACATACACATGGCTTGCACACCATATTTAATTTTGGTCAGTGATTGCAATTCTCATTTCATTATTACCTTTCTCCCATTTCCCTAAACTTTATTTTTCGTCCTTAATTCTCTCTCCTCCAAAAGTAACCTGAACCATTTAGGGAAAGAAAATCACCTAAAAATTGATACTATTAAATCCAGAAAGCTCTCCAATCAACAACAACAACAAATGTCCCAGACTAGAGATAATGGAAAGTTCTGATTAGATTCAAAAATAATTTGAACATAATTACATTTCTATAATATTCTTATATATGTATAATTCACACGTGCATATTTGTATAAAATGAAACAGTTCACAAGAGTTCTATAAAACTGGAACTTCTAAAATTTTATTATTCAAAATAGCAAAATACAAATTCTTTTTGAAAACAAAAAAAAAGACATAACTCAAATGAAAAACCCATTAAGATAGTAACTCAACTTTCCAAATGTAAAAAAAGAAAAATAAATCCAGTTATGTATACTGTCAAACAAGCACTTTGTTTTTAAAGTTTTTCTTTTCAGCACCTTCATATGCTATCTGAAAAGTTTTTAACTTTAATCTCATTTTTGTTTACAAATTTAACCCATACATATATCTGCTGTAGCATCAAACTTCATTAAATAAATATTAAATTTCTCAATATGCTAAATTTCTTTAAAAATACAGATATCAGAGCAAAGGCAACAAAAGCAAAACCAAATTCAGTGGGACTACATCAAACTAAAAACGTTCTGCACAGCAAAGAAACAATCAACAAAATTAAAAGGCAACCTACCAAATGGCAGAAAATATCTGCAAATTATATATCTGATAAGGGATTAATATTCAAAATATATAAAAAACGCATATAACTCAATAGCAAAAACATAAACAATCCAATTTAAAAACAGGCAGAGGATCTGAACAGACATCTTTCTACAGAAGACATATAATATAGATGGCCAACAGTTACATGAAAAGGTATGAACATCGTTAATAATGAGGGAAATGCAAATCAAAACCATAATGAGATACTACCTCACACCTGTTAGAATGGCGAGTATCAAAAAGACAAGAGATAACAGGGGTTGGCCAGGATATGGAGAAAAGGGAACCCTTGGTGCACTGTTGGTGGGATTATAAATTGGTGCAGCCACTACGGAAAACAATATGGAGGTTCCTCAAAAATTTAAAACTAGAACTACCTTACATTCCAGCAATTCAACTTCTGGGAATTTATCCAAAGAAATCCAAAACACTAATTAGAAAAGATATATGTATCTCTATGTTCATTGCAACATTATTTACCATAGCCTAAATGTCCATCAACATACAACTGGATAAAGATGTGATACATATATACAATGGAATATCATTCATCCATAAAAAGGAATGAAATCTTACCATTTGCAACAACATGAATGGACCTAGAGGGTATTATATGCCAAGAGAAATAAGTCAGATAGAGAAAGATAAATACTGTATGATCTCGCAGTACCATATGAAAAAACCAAAGTCATAGATACAGCGAACAATGTGGAGGTTGCCAAATGTGGGGGGGTACAGGAGGAAGAAATGATGAAAGGGGTCAAAGGTACAAACTTTCACTTATAAAATAAATACAGCCTAAGGATGTAATATACATGCTGGTGACTACAGTTAATAAAACTGTATTGTGTATTTAAAAACTGATATAAGACTAGACATTAAAAATTCTCAACACAAGAAAAGTATTATAAGTATATGGGGTGATGAATGTTAACTAGACTTACTACGGTGATCATTTCACAATATATACATATACCAAATCATTATGTTGTACACCTGAAAGTAATATGTTATATGTCAATTATATCTCAATTTAAAAAATAGATACCAGTGTATAATAAAGAATCAAGAAGTATAATACAACATTACCTGTGCACCAAGATCCTTCATGTAGGGCCCAAGTTCACTAAATAGATCATATCCTTGGTGAAAGAAGGCCAAATGTGCATACATAAAGGATAACATCTAGTAGGAGAAAAAAAGATTACCATTTTAAAATCAAATCTTAGATAAATATTACAAAATTTTAAAAAATCCTCTTCCTATCTATTGTTTAAAAATTATTCTGCATGAGCCCAAAATATCAAACCCATTTAAAATTAAACTGAGTTGGGGTCAGCCGAGTGGCGCGTTGGTTAAGAACTGGCTTGGGACGCCAGAGGGCCCCAGTTCGGATCCCACGTATGAGGGCCAATGATGCTGCCCTCTACAGCTAAGATGCTGAACAACAGCGCGACCTGGAGCTGGGTTGCATGCTGCAGTGAGTTGCCATGGGCTACCATGTGTAGCCTGCGTGAGCGGCCTTGAAGCCGCTGTGAGCGGCCGTCCAGAAGCCGGCGACTGATCTGCCTCACCCGGGAAGAGCGCAATGATGGTGCCAACTTGGGCTAGTGAAACAACGTCCTCCACAACTAGACTGAAGAACAACAACAACAAAAAGACAGCAACTTGTCTGCTCCCCTTCCCCCAATTCCCCGGCGCTGTTCCCATCCCCCAATTCCCTAATAAAAATCTTTAAAAAAAAAAAAAGTTAAACTGAGTTGGACCAGCCGAGTGGAGCTTGGTTAAGAGTTGGCTTGGGACGCCAGCTCTGAGCAGCAGGGACCCAGTTCAGATCCCACATATGAGGGCCAGTGACGCTGCCCTCTACAGCTAAGATGGTGAACAACAGCTCGACCTGGAGCTGGGCGGCCTTGAGTCGCCGGGCAACAGTGTAGGCTGCAGCAAAGCTGCAGTGGGCTGCCATAAGCTACTGTGGGCTGCCATAAGCTACCGTGAGTGGCTGGCAGCCAGTGTGAGCGGCCAGCAGCCAGGGTGAGCTGCCAAGAGCTGCCCTTCAGTGGCTGGCGACTGATCTGCCTCACCTGGGAAGAGCGCAACAATACCAACATGGGCCAGTGAAGTGACTGGCTCCACAACTAGACTAAAGAACAAAAGAACAGCAACTTGTCTGTTCCCCTCCCCCAGCCCCCAATAAAATCTTAAAAAAAAAAAAATTTAAGCGGAGTCATTCTTCTTAAAAGAGTGTTTCAGAAATATGTGCAAATATGACAAATTTTATTTAAAAGAAATTTCTGAGTGGTTTAAAATTTTAACAACACCCCAAATTTTAGTTGTTTAAACTATACCCAATCAAAATTTTTACAGTACTAATTCAAAGAATCAAGTTTTCAATAGTTTCACCATTTTCCTAGGTACATTATAAAATATCTATGTGCCTTTCAACCAAAATCACTGGCAAAGCCTTAAATTGCAAGTAAGACATTAAAAGATTAGAAGGGGAAATATGAAGCTTTCAAAACAATCACAAACACTTTACAAACCTACTAGATCACTAAGCACAACCCAAAATAGGGAACTGCTCATTTTTTTCTCGATACCAAAATAAAATGAGTCTATAATCATTCCAAAAATCAAAAAACGTTGTTAATGGGTTGAGATTTTTCCAAGTTTTCCTATATTTTACCTATTCATGAAAAAGAATCAACCTTGTTTTTATTAAAGTTGGCACATGAGACGGAATTAAATAATTCAATCATAATACTGCAAGAATTCTCCAAACATCCATGTTATTTTTACCAAGAAGAAGCATCTATTTAATTCTCTGAAATCTAAAATAGGTCATAACATCCTTAATACTCAAGAATCCTTCAAAATAAATTTAAAAAAAAGAAAATTAATTAAATAAAACAGAAAATCAAAGGACAAAGCTCACTAAAAGATTACTGTGGAGTTAGATAATGATGGTTGTACCTCTCTGAATATTAAAAAATACTGAATTATATAAAAAAGGGGGGATATTAATAGCTATCACTACATAAAAATGCAAAATACACTTGCACATCAAAACAAATAAGTATATTAAAAGATAAATGATAAACTAGGAAAACAACACATGATAAAGGGTTAATAGTCTTAATACATAAAGAGATGTTACAAATCAGTATGAAAAAGATGAACACGCCAACAGAAAAAGAGACAAAGGACATAAGTAGGGAGCACAAGTGAACAAAACAATTTATGGAAAAAATGTTCAAATTCATTTGTATTAAATATATGCAAAATTAAACAATCAGATTACATTATCTATCAAATTGTGGTTAGAGTGAGGGAAACTAATACTCAGTGTTGGTAAAATGTGGAAAAACTCACACACAACTAGTGGAAATGTTGTGTAACCATTGAAATTTGACAGTATCTTTAAAAAGTCTTAATAAACACTTGTACCCTTTGACTAAGTAATCTCTTGTCAATCTATCCTAAGGAAGTAATCATATTCATCAGAGTAATCATTAAAATGATATACTTTAATATGCAAAAACATGGAAATGACTTAAAAATTCATGAATGGGTGAAGTTAACTTATGGTATATTTAAGGTGAGCAACCCATGATCAGCACTCTACACCCATCCAGCTCCTCCACCTGTTTTTCGCAGGTCTATGAGCTAACAATGGTGTTTACATTTTGAAATAGTTGAAAGAAAATGAAAAGACATGAAATTCATGACACATGAAAATTACATCAAATTTCCACGTCCATAAGAAAAGGTTAATTGGAACACAGCCATGTCATTCATTTATATGTTGTCTATAGCTGCTTTCTCATTACAACACCACAGCTGAGTACTTGTGACACAGACCATATGGCTCATGAAACCTAACATATTTACTACCTGGCCCTTAAAAAAAAAAAAAAAAGTTTGCCCACCCCTAGTAAATTCACATGGTAGACTTCTACATGGCCACAAAATTAAATAAAAAATACTTTTGGAGTGTATTAGTAAAAAAAAGAATTATAAAACAGTACACAGGGATAACCTCTATTGTCTTTAAAATCTTAAATGCAATTTAAAAAGTATATATGCATGTTCCCATACACACTGGAAGAGAGAAAAAAGACAAAGATATAAACCAAGATATTAGCAGTGGTTCTGCCTTGATAGTAGGATTTTTATTTTTGCTTCATACATTATTTTCCACAATTAATATACATTACTCTCAGTCTGGAAAAGGAGGTAGAGATAAACAGGAAGTACAATGTACTTATCTGATATGAAATAACAAATATAAACATAGAATTTAGGGGAAAGCTGGGCAACAACAAGGATTAAGAGCAATTTAAGTATACCCTTTCAGAAAATAAATAGCTCCAGTGAACAAAGTCGGAGAAGAGAAATTATTCTAAGGTTCTCAAAATATGAAAGCATAATGCCATAGTACTAGCATTCCCTGCCCACCTCCTTGTTAACTTTAAAACAGAAAATAAGGAGGAAAAAAAAAATCAATATCACCCTGGGTGTAGATGCTAAGGGGCAAAAAAAGTGATCCTTAATTTTCATCCCATTTGTTTTCTAACTAAGTGAAACGGTTGATACATCATCAACAACCCTAGGAAAAAATTATCTAAATACTATTAATGTGTGCCCTCAACCTGAAATATTAAATGTCTGATTTAAGGAGCTCATAGTGTATTAATAGATGAGACACACATAAATAACTATAAAATGAAGGAAACAAAAAAATGGTTGATATATAAGTACAATAAGGTAAGATTAATTATGAACCTGGGATAAATATGCGTATATATACATATGCACATATATCATGCCTCTTGAAACACTTAAATATGTACATTTAGTTTCATATTAAAATATTTAAAACATCATTTCAATAAATATCTTACTGATTTTAGGATTTCTGATCTCCTTTTTGATTGAAGGACATTTATCTGAGGGAAAATATATTCGGTTAATCATCCATGCATTATTTTAAAAATTATAATACAATATTGTAAATGTTATTTATTTTAATGGTTTAACATTTTTCCAGAAAAGTAAATAAAAACAAAGTTGAACTTTTTTATCCTTCAACCAACTTTTTGCAAAACAGCTAAGACAAATATATCAATGAAATTCTCACCCATTTTTTTTTAATTAAAGTTTATTGGGGTGACAATGGTTAGTAAAATTACATAGGTTTCAGGTGTACAATTCTATAATACATCATCTATATATCACATTGTGTGTTCACCACCCAGAATCACTTCTCCTTCCATCGCCATATATTTGATCCCTTTTACCCTCATCTACCTACCACCCTTTCCCCCCTTATCCTCTGGTAATCACTTAAACTATTGTCTGTGTCCATGAATTTTTGTTTCTTTATTTGTTTGTCTTGTTCTTTTATTGTTTTCTCCCACGTATCAGTGAAATCATATGGTTCTTGACTTCTGCCTGACTTATTTCACTTAGCGTAACAATCTCAAATTCCATCCATGTTGTCGCAAATGGCGCTATTTCATCTTTTCTAATGGCAGAATAGTAGTATTCCAAACTGGCTGTGTTGTGGGGATAATATTGTAGTGATAAAACTATCACTTTGATAGGCATTTGAATTTCTTACAATTCCATCTCTTCCCCACCCTCCCTACCAGTTGCTTATAAAAATCATTCAATTTGATCCTAATGCAAATTGTCATCACTTTTACCACTACCATCAACCACAATCATATCTCTTCTAGACTGCTACAATAGTCTATGAACTAGTCTGTTTCCACTCTTGACTCCCTACAATCCATTCAGCAACCAGAGTGATCATGATCTAGCTTAAAACATTCAAGGCCCTTTGTGATGTGGCTCCTGCCTACCTCTCTAACAGAGTTTTCTACCTTGCCCCTTTCTGTGTTCCAACCACAACCCAAGACTCCTCAACGCCTTCATACTATTATAGTTGTCCTGGCTTCATGATTTTCTGCCCAGATGAGCACAAGGCTCTTATCAATCAGGTCACAGCTTAAATACTATTTCCTCACAAAGGTCTAAAGTAGGTCCGTATGCACTCTCTAGCACATCAACCCTATTTACTTTCTCTACAGCAATCATTTTATTTTATTTATTTTTTTATTTTTTATTTTTTTAGCTGAGCCATCCTGCCACCTGTTGGCAGCTCAGCGGCAGCTCAGTTCAGGCCGTGAATCGAACCAGCGATGCTGTTGCTCAGAGCTCGCACACTTGAGTGAGCTCTTAACCAACTGAACCACTCAGCCGCCTTTCTCCACAGCAATCGTTAACTACCTTATATTTTCTTATTCACTTAAGTCTTCTCCCCAGTTAACGTGTAAGCTCTGTGAGATCAGGGTCTTGCCTTATTCCCAGCTGTAA